AAAACAGCTTATATAACTCATGATGTCACTGCAGAGGGGGCTCTGTGTGCCCACTGTGACATGTGTGCTGTAGATTTGCCACCACTGTCCTAGACTGTACTGTGTTGTTAAACTAGGATGTTAGGTTAGGTGTATTAAACACACTTCTGATACATAAAATTTTCAACTGATGATGAGTTTACCAGGCTGTAACATAATTGTAAGTTAAGGAGCATCTGCATAAAGAATAGTACAGATGTTCAGGCGGGGCAGTATCTTCAAGATGATTCTAGTTAGCACATAATTGATTTTTATGATAATTACATATGACTATATAAGTGGTCTTAGTAAAAAGTGATTTCCTCTAAATAGCAGCGAGACAGAATTCATAATAACATAAATTATTTAAGTACAAATGATTATATTTAAAGTACTAATGTAATAATTAGTATTAGTGCCATGCAGATATTTCAGTACTTTGAATATAGTATAGGAAAGTTTGGGAAACACAGATGTATTAGAAAGAATTCTACCCTGGGTCAATAGCTTTAGTTATTATTACCCAACAGCTTTTTATTGAGGCTTTAACTTCTCTATACTTTATTTCCTTATTCTTAAAGTATGGTGAAAATAATACTTTCAATAGTGTTTCGCTTTTATTTCCCTGAGAAAATTAAATCTAATTCTAAGTGATTTTTATTGTGAGAAGGATGTACCTCATCAAATGTCCTTAGAGTTATACATGAGAAAGTGTAAGTTTTTCTTTTAGGAGGAAGGCATGTTCCAAATGACCTTTATCTCATAACTGTATATTCAGCTAAATGGCTTAGCCTCAGTATTGTCTGTTTTTTTACACTTACCTGATGGACAGAGCAGCGTGTTGAAAGTTTCTTGCTTTTCTATTCTTCTATTCTTTCTATTCTATTCTATTCTATTCTATTCTATTCTATTCTATTCTATTCTATTCTATTCTATTCATTTTCTATTCTTTGTATTGGGAGAAAAATCAGTGAAATGATACTGAACATATAGTAGAAGATTCAGTCGCTGTAAAGTAGAAGAGAAAATATTACAGAAAAATTCACTTGCAGATCCACCCATAAGCTTGGAAATGATGCTACTGTCACAGAGAGTAGATAGTGCTATGCTATACACCAAGCCTTTAACACTCAAAGAGTAACCCCAGGCCCCTCAGCTGTCAAAAGTTGAACAGCAATATCCTCTCGCTTCTGCTCTTGGTTGGTAAGAAACTTGTTGCTGCATGATTTCTGGGATGACATGGTTTCAGCAGTGACTTTGTTTTTGCCACTTACCCAACAACTTTGGGACCACAACCCAGCACAAAGTTTTCCTCCCATTTCCACAGATGCAGTGATATTCTGCATTCTTCTCTACTGGGGTGACGTGCAAAGCAGGGGAGTTCAGCTACACTGGGAACTGTCCACATACCCAGACACAAGTTGGTTACAGGACACAGGCAGAGGGTCAACTGCAGGAAGGAGAGGCTGAGAGGGACAGTGTGTCCCGGCCCAGAGTCCCTGAGACAGTGTGCATGCAAGGTGAGTCCTGTCTAATCCTTGCAGTTTAGGTGTTTACAACAAGGATTTGAAACGCAGATAGAAACGAGGAGAAATGCTCAGGGCGGTGTCTGCAGAACCTTGCTCACTAGTAGTAAATCTGGAATAGTATGTAACTCCATTCATGTCAACATCTGCATTTCTACTGGGGATTGGCTGATTTTTCTCCTCAAGGAGAAGAACCTAGAACTGCAAAAGTGATATCTGATTATGCATGTGTAGCAATAGTTCTTGTACTCTTTGTCCTGTTCATCTCTTTATGTCTGGATCACTTCCTGTCATTGAAGATTTTAGAATCTGAAAACAAGACTTGTTTTCTGAGGTGTGAGTTATAGAATTTATTTTTAGTTTTCTTTCTTTTTATGATTTGGAAAGCTGAATGGTATTTTATTTTTATTTTATTATTATTCATAATTGAAAAATTAATTGCATATACTTCTGGGGTATATGTGACCTTCTGATATATGTATAGCATGTAGAATTATTAAATGTAGCTAATGAACACATCTCTCACTTTTCTTATTTTCCAGGGGAGGCATTTGAAATTTACTTTCTAAGCTATTTTGAAATACAAATATGTTGTTATTGACTATACTTAGTCTACTGTGCAATAGATTTTAAAAACTTTTTAAATATTTGGTTTTGAATCTCTCATGGGTACTCAACTGAGACTGTTCAAAAGTAAGACTGTGAGTTTACCTGCTCAAATTTTCCTCATCTTGACTGTTCTCTTTCTCAGTTTATTTGGCTTCTGATAGCTTAGGCATTTCCAAATGGTTTTCTCTCTTGCACTGCCTGTCTCTAACACTTGCTAAGTATTCTCTCCCTCATGATGGAGCTGAAAGTAAACTGCCAACCACATGACATATTCACTACTTCAGCTCCTCTGAGTCATCACAGAAAAATGAAATCTTCCATGCTACCCATACCCACCCCAGACCCCCAGACCCCATATCCCCAACTTTTTCCACGTCACCATTCTGGACTCATTGGTTTCCTTCAGCTCTGCTTAACATAGAGCCTTTGTGCATTTTTTTTTAAGGTCTCCTGCATTGCTCCTCTGTAGATTTCACATAACCAGCTCCTCGCAAATGTTTTCTTCTATTAGCTCCTCAGTGTGGTCTACTTTGATCTCTGTTTTTTGATGTGTTATATAATGCACTTCTTAACTTGTGAGGTCTGATGTGTGACAGTATTATGGACAGCTGAGTTAGTCAGAAATTAGTATGCAGTCAGAGAGGAATTGGACCCTTGAGGGAGTCAGTGCAGAAGATAAGACACAGCAAAATTGTGGCTGGAGGTGACTTTAAAGAGTGCCAAGTCTCAAGATGGAGACCAGATAGTCTAATCCTAACCCTAGAAATAAACATCAGTTTAAGATTAAATTGTAATTAATGCCACCTGGTCCAGTGAGCCTAGAGAATGCATCACATGCATTGGTGGGTGGTCAGAACACCCTGGCCCATAGCCCCATCCCTCTCTAGGAACGCATTTGTTCTTTCTGCATGAGAAATTATAGATCAGCTAATACACCCTTATTATGTGCTTTGATTTCCTATTGGACCACTATTAGCTAAGCAACTATACTTTAATCCTCTAGGTTGATTGTAGTTTGACCCATGAGTACCCAAGTTGTGACTTTGCTATATAAAATACCCTTGATAAAGAGCCTTGGTGGCACCCTCTATGTGGGACTCCTCCTGCTTCTCAGAGGTTTTCTCAATAAACCTTTCTGACTTTTAACCTTTGTCCTACTCTTAACAAAGGCCATTCTTTGTTATCAGGAGACACAAATTTGGCACATCTGCCATCTAACAGGTGGGGAGTTACTTCCATGTGTCATATGGGAGGCCAGTGGGATTTTGGAAAGAGATGAGAGTTTGCTTTTGTTTCATAGCATATTCCCCTCACTTTTTTTGGTTTGTTTTCTTCTGGATATTGAAGTTTATTGACTTGTTGGTGCTGGGGTGGGGGGCATTGAGTCTTTTGCTGCTGAAGCAGATTTTCTGGATTGGGGTGTGTGTGATGGAGACCATAATGAAGCAGCCATGAGCATGACTTAAATTAACCAATAATCTTTTCATGTTTACTTGTAAATCTGTCCAAGGACTAGGCTCCTTTTCTGGAGATGAACGGTGGATTCATAGTAAGTGAACCTTGTGAGTCACTGATCCCTATTGAGGCCTGTAATGGTGGATGAAGCCAGAAAGCCTCAAAGGACAAGACAAGATCACAGCCAAGGACACCTGGATGCAACCTCAACTAGATAAAGACTGTAGCCTCAGGCATCTCACTCCTGGGTAGATTAATTTAATACCTTACTTGGAGCAGTCCTTCAGTGGTTCCGCCCTTCTTGAGTACTCCCTTCCCTTCTTCTGATAACTAAATAAATATGGGCCACCCAAAGAAGGTCTTGGTCTTAGCCCTGAGAGAAGGACTTTGATCCTCCTGGTGCCCTGAAATCATTCTATTTGCCTCTTTTATTTAGCCTTCACCATACATTCATTCAGGAGATTGTGGACTTGATCGACCTGTGTCTATTTATCCTTTGCTTGTTGCCTTTACTTTCCTTAACATTGGAAACATTGAGCTCTCTGCTGTCTCCATATTTTTGCCCTTTCCAGAGTGGCCATATGATTTTTCCTCTTGATTACATCAAGAACTGAAAGTAGTTAACACAATGAGAGAGGAAAAGTGAAATACAGCAATTTTGAGGCCTAGACGTTGGCTGTTTCATGCAAAGCTTTCTACAACAGTTAAAGGTTAAAGCCTTCATGACTAGTTGAAATATAGTGAAAAGCCACCAAGAGACCTAAGAGAATTAAGAAACTAATGCTATATTTCTCCTTTAGAATATAGATTTTTGAGGCAAATGTGATGGCCATCATTGATGGGTATAAAAGCTATCAGGGAGAAATAAGCTTAATACATAGGACTTGGATCTGCATCAATACACCCGGAAGAATATTATTCCTTCAGTGAGATTTGGGCAAGCAGGCATGAACCAAGGCTATGAGGAATTTAAGAATCATGAGTGATATTTGAAATTCTGAAGTTCATTAATTTAAGATATTTGAGAGACAGTACATTCATTTTCCATTGCTACTATGGAAAGCCTCACACTTTGGGCTTGAAAATAGCACAGATTTATTCCTTTATCTTAATACTAACATGCAACTATACACTTTTAGACACATGTTTAAAAATAGTTTATATATAATATACATCTATGCTCAATTGAATTATACAAATGAATGTTTGATCTAATTAAGTTAAGTAAACATATTTCATATTCAAAGGAATTCTTCAGATATATTTTCAGAATTTATCTTCCAAGTGATAATGGGACATGGGCAGAGAGGTAGAATGGTATTTTGCATGATATGTTCATACTGAGAGTGAAAATTTAATTTTGAAATTAAAGTTAAGATACACAGATTCTTGTCAGGTTTTATGAAACAATAGCTGTTAAAATAAATTTATTTATATTTAAATATTATGACAGTCTTACTTTTCTATGGTTTCCAGAAATTTATTCAAAAGGCCTATCAGAATTAAGTTCTTAGTACATGAGAATATTCTATATTTAGCAAAACATTTTGTTATTTATTCAGTGATTAATGTGATATGTTTTTTCCCCTAAAAGCAAAAAGTAAGGCAAGGACTTGGATATAGATAATTTATTTCAGGAAACAAGAAGAAGAGATGAGGGAGACTGTGCAAGAAAAGGAAAAAATACTAATTTAAGGAGTACTGAGGCTGCTCTAGGAGAAAGTGGAGGCTGATTTGCAGGGCACATCATGAGAGATATCTCGAACACCTTCCAGAGCTCCCAGACTGGAGGCTGGAATACAGGAGTATTCATGTAGTGGCTCTGGTCTCTACAGGTTGAACTTTGCACTTGGACCCATTGACCCTGCACTTCCCACTGTGCTTCCTTACAAGTCAAGCTGGCTACGGGGACTCCATGGGGGACAGTCATGTGGATAGTGTCAGGTTGGTGGTGGTGTGCTTGAGGGTGGATGCTGTTGGTGGGAGAACTGTAGTATAGGAGCATGCTGGGGATTCTGAATCTTTTATTTGGTTGAAACAGTGGAAAGAGTCATTTGATATATAATTCAGTTCCAAAGTGCCATCTTCTTGTCCGTCTCATTTCCCTTATCCCAGATCTAGAAGGCTTCAGAGGATATCTGATTGCATGGTGTGCTGTATTCTGCAACTGCAAATTCATCTGGAAGAGAGTAGTTGTTACTAGAAACAGTCTCAGAGCACTGCTCAAGAAAGCTTCTTAATTATCTCTGTTTAGAAATAAATTCCCCTATATTTGTGGTAATATAAGAATTGACTTGACAATTTCCACATCGATTTCCTTTCCCGTCACATTGCATGCTTATGCATGTCACTGGTCTTAAATGTTTCAGGTACATGATGCATGCTAAAACCTGAGATTAGCACTTAATTTTCTAGTGTAGAAAATATTTATTATTTCAATAGTTGGAGGGACAGTGAAAACTTAACTCAATCCTTGAGGTTTATGGAAACAAAGATATGCTTCCTGAATGTTAGAGTACCCAAAGTTTGTAAATCATTATTTGTAGATAAACACTCTCTGTTTGTGGCTGAACTATTTATCATTACAGTTATATGGAAATAGTAGCTTCTTTGTTTACTAAAAGTCTATGAATCATTTATTGGGTGTTATAATCTGACTTGAAATTAATTAACCTGTCATTTTCATATTTTGATTGATAAAGTTATTAAACCTGTATTTTAATTTATTAATATGCATAAGTTTAATCTAAGGAATGCACAGGAGGACCAATAAGCTTCAGTTTCAAGTTAGAAGACCCATTGTAGAGTTCTTCATCTGCCATCTGTTTTGTGTTGTTAGTAGGAATTTACTTTTTCTGAGCAAAAGCAATAACACAATAAAAACCCAGTTTTAAAAAAGCAGAAACAGAAAATTATATGACAAAGTAGCTACAATTCTATATTCTCTATTGCTTGAAAATGCAGCAGTATTTGGCAACACATGGATAAATAGTTGATATCACACTAGGGAGATACATGTCCAAGTGAGTCTGTTGAAGGATGAAAGACCAGAATAAGTTAACTCAGCTGGCAGTCAGCCGGCCAGACTCCAACTAAGTTTCTCACCTGCGAGAACCAGGGTGGGCTGTCCTGGGTCAGCCAACCAGTTGATCTATCAGTTGGCCATAGACACAGAAGCAATTTATACAGAAAATGGCTGAGCCACTCTGAATCAGGCAACATAAATCAGCAACCTGGCTCACCACCAAATTGCAAGGAGTGATAAATATATGCTTTATCAGACTATTTCCACCAGTTCTCTAATAGCACCTCTTTTATTTTCTATTGAAACAGAAATACTGTCTTCTAATTCATACTATTGTATAAACTGCATGTCAACATTCACAGAAACCAGCTCTGTTTTGCATGAATCTATAATTTATTCAGAAAGAGTGACTACTTCACGTTTATTCTCTAGTAATTTAAACCAACAGTTTAGTGAGAAGATAATTTAGGAAAAATCTTGAAGTTCTTTTATAAACAGAATAAATCTCAAGGTCTGTTTGCTATTGAACTCAAGAATTTTGTATTAAATGATATAAAATGTTACAAAACATGAAATAAAGAATATTTCAAGAACAGGAATGATAACATCAGTAGAGAAAATGAAAACCATCGTGTATCTAATCAGATTTAGAACATATCTGGCATTAAAAGTGAAATTCTTACCGGTTGCATAGTAATCATAGAGCTGAACAGATGCAGGCTTGGTGTTGGACACAAGTGTGTCTTGTTCAATGGAGAATGAGAACTGGATTTTCTTTTGAGTAATCTGAGAATAAATTGATATTATTATGCATATTAAATGTATTCCATCAATTTCTCTCTATGTCAAATATTTGGAATTATTTGAACAATGATCATTTGGCACTACTCCCTTACAAGAAAACAGCAAGAAATATAGCAAAACAGAAAGAAATGACATTGTGCCTCCGGCACATACAATACCTAAACCGAATTACGACAGTAAACTTACACTCTGTAGATAGAAAAAGACGTGGGTGGCTTTAATTTCTACTCGCTGTACTGTGCCATCTTCTTGAAGCTAAAAATAAGGAGGAAAAGTTGTATTGGAAATTTAGGGAACTAGTGATAACAAACACTTCGCTAATCAGAAGTAAAAATATTCAATTTTAATTTGGTGGCTTTTCTGCACCTTTGCAAATATTTGCAATATTCAATACCAAACATAAACCTTTGAGAGGCTTTTATTTAGCAATTTTGAGAAACTTGTCTGAATATTTCTTTCTAATTTTCAATAAGTAGAATAATAAAACATACGTTACTAATTCATTTTAAAATTAAAGTAATATTTGTGTGTACTGAGGGGGTAACTTGATTTTTTTATCTATCTGTACACTGAGATTCAATCAAGATAATTCACCTATCTCTTATATCACCAACTTACCAGTTTTTTGTGTTGAAGGTGTTGAAAACCTATTCTTTTAGTAGTTTTAAGAATACATTAATTGTGTCATTATGCCAGTAAAACTTACTCCTCCAGTTTAGCTAAGGTGAACTTTTTGGTCAATATTATTCCTTTTTCTTTTGTTCCCCTTCTCTTTGGTACACACTTTAGTACTCTCTGTTTCTATCATTTTTTAAAGATTGTACATGGAAATGAAATACCATGATATTTGTCTTTCTGTTCCTGGCTTACTTTACCAAACATAATACCCTCATAAGTTGCATCTGTAGTGTTACCAAATGACAGGACTTCCATCTTTTTATAAGGCATTATAGTGTTCCAGTGTGCATATGTACACATTTCCTTTCTCCATTCATCTGTGGTCACACATGTAGTTTGCCTCCATGTTGTTTCTTTTTTTCTTTTTTTTGTCTTTTCTTCCGGTACCAGGAATCGAACTCATGACCTTGCGTTTTTGCCAGGCAGGCGCTTTGCTGCTGAGCTAAATCCCCAGCCCCTGCCTCCATATTGTGATGTTGCATCAAACACGGAAGTCAATTCTTTTGGATATTTGTCCACATGTGGATTGCTAGGCCTTATGGTAATGCTAGTTCTACTTTGTAGGGGAAACTCTATACTATTTTCCAGAATGGCTGGACACAAATGTACACTCCCACCAGCAGTAGGTGAGAGCTTCCTTTTCTCCCCATCCTTGCCAACATTTATTATTATCCTTCACCTTTTGAATAACAGCAGTTCTAATAGTGGTGAGGTAATATTTAAGTGCAGTTTTAATATGCACTTCTCCAGTGACTAGAGATTTTGAGCATTTTCACAAATATTTTGACTATTTTTCTGTTTTATTGATTGTTTCCTTTGCTGTGCAAATGTTTTTAGCTTGATGCAATCTTATGCGTCCATTTTTGCTTTTGTTTCTTATATATTTTATTTCTTGTACAAGAAAGTATTGCCTACATTTCCTTTTTAGGTTTCTCCTACATGATTTTGAGTGTTTTGTACATTTTGAGAAGATTTTTTCTTTTTTCATCATTGGTATATCTTTGTAATATTTAATAGTTACATACATCTGGGGAATTGTACACATATAACATCTTGATTATTTTTACTTCCTCTCTCCTCCCCATTCATGTCCCCTTCCCATTTTCAGGAAGTCTACCTCCCTGTTTCTTAACATCCCTCTTTTACTTTACTCTTTGACTTATCTTTTGGGTCCTTATCTAAGAAAATCAGTGTGATATTTATCTTGCTGTCCTTTGGCCTCTGGTTAATTTCACTTATCAATATGGTCTCAAGAGCCAGGTTTATTTCTACACATTACTCAAATTTACCCTTTACAGCTGAAAATAAGGGTCCCATTTCATTCTACGGGATGTGAACATCTACTTTTCTCGTTACTACTTTTCTTTTTTTGCGGCACTAGAGATTGAACCTAGGGTCTTCACACTGAGCTATACCCCATCTCTTTTTATTTTTTATTTGGAGACAGAGTCTCAAAAATCACTAAATAGCCCAGGTTGGGTTTAAATTTGTAATAATCCCATCTCAGCCTGCCAAAGAGCTACAATATCAGGCAGGCACCACCACCTCTAGCTTCCCAAAACCACTTAACTGAGGCACTGTTCTTTACCCATTGTGCATTCTTCATGTCCTTGTCAAAAATCTATTGATGGTAAGTACTTGGGTGTATTTTGGTTTTTTAGTTTTTTTGTTCCACTGGTCAGGGTGTTTGTTTTTGTACCAGTACCATATTGTTTTAATTACAATTGCTTTATAATGTGTTTTGAAATCAGGGAGTATTTGTCTCTGGCTTGTTTTTTTGCTCAAGATTGCTTTAACTCTTCAGGATCATTTCTGATTCCACATAAATTTTAAGATTTTTTTCTATTTCGGTTAAGCATGTTATTGGAACTTTGATAGGGATGGATTACATTGACTCTATAGATTGTTTTGGATATATTTTAGCAGTATTATATCTTTGAGTCCCTGAACATAAACCTTTCCATTTATTTGTGTTTTCTTCAATTTCTTTCATCCGTGTTTTATAATTTTCAGTGTATAGACTTTTCAACTCCTTGGTTAAAATTTTTAATTTTTAAAAAATTTCTTTCTTCAGATAATTTGTTGTTACTATATAAATATATTGCTGATTTTTATATTTTGATTTTATAACCTGCAACTTTACTTAATTTTCTTACCAGTTCTAACAGGTTTTTTTTGAGGTGGGTAGTTTTTAGGGTTTTTTATATGCAAGATCAGAACATCAGTATACAGAAAAAAATGGTACTTTTTATTTTCCTGTATGGTCTCTTTTATTTCTTTTTCTTATTAAATTGCTCTGGCTGGAACTTTCAGTATTATATTGATAGAACTGGTAAAAATTGACATCCTTGTCCTTGAACTTAGAAGGAAAGCTTTCAACTTCCCACCACTGAATATGATAATAGCTATGGAATATCTACTCGCTTTATTTTTTTCATGACTTACTGTTTTGATGGTATAAGAATATAAATAAATTTGAGACCCTTGAATTATATACTATGAGATACAGATGTGACTAAAATTTCATTCATTAAGACAAGAAAATGTGTTTTTAATTTTTACACAATTTACAGTCATTGTATAAGGCAGAGATTAACATAGTATGGCTAATGTGAAGTTATTTGAATGAACAACATTGAACTCTTTACCTTCTGAACTGATGATCTGTCAGGTACATATCCTGAAAGCATCTTCACATCAATGATTGCCATGTTGGAAGAGTTGCGTTTTCCAGAATAGCTTTTTAAGAAAAGTACAAAATTTTAAATTTAGGCAAATGTTAATCATCATTCAAGAAAAAAATTATCAAAAAATGTATTTGCATAGAAAAAGGTTATTGTACCCTACTTTTTATAAGATATATTGTTTTGAGATCAGAATATTCTTGCAATAAGCTGAAATTAGTGGTGTACCAAAATGAAGCAACACACATGTCAATCCATTTGCAAGTGGACACAGAGAGCTGAACCTGACTTATTCTTGTTTAGCAGTTTTGGGTTTTAAAATCATGGGACTATACTATGTTGATATAGAGAAACATACCTCTTACAGAGGAATTTATAGAAGATTTTTCTCACAATTTCTTTATGTTTCCTATTCTATATATTTTGAAGCTGCATTTATTTTTCTATTTGGAATTATACAATCTTGGCAATTTAAACAAGATGAAATATAATTCCCTTGAGAAGTTAAATAAGACAATCTCTTTCATAAAATAATTGGATTGCTCTTTCAGTGGATGCCTGGACACAGGCTATCTGAATTACAGGTGGAGATGTAGCTAAGTTTAAAAAGGAAAGTTATTACCTGGCTGAAACAACAAGGTCAAACTTTGTATCCAACAATCCTCTGCAGACCGTGTTGGCTGTATTCACAGAAAGGGAAAATCCAGATGACTTCTTGGGAAGTAGGATGTTATATCTCAGAGTTGACTTGAATAAATAGAATAAATAGAATATGTTGCTTGTTAGCTAAAATATTACTTTATGTTTATTATCACCCTCTTAAAGTTTTAAATTAAATTAAAAGACAATTTTTGCATCTAGGATTCCTCTTTTCTATGCATTACTATCTTTTTTTTATAAATTTATTGAGCTCATGTTATATGCTTCCTGTTAAGTGTTTTTTAATGTAATAATTCCTTTAATGCTTTCAGCACCCTATGAAATATATGCTATTTTTTGCCTATATTTTAGGGAGGACAAACATAAGGACAGGGAGATTTAAAAAAAAAACAAAAAAACCTTGTCAAAACTGATAGAGTTCATGAATGTAGGCTCTTTTCTGGTAAAGAACTGAAATAATCCGATATCAGCCTCAAGAAACTTATTACTGATCTCAAGGCCTTCATACTCAGCTACATCCCTGGTCCTCTTTAAAATTAAAATTAATTAATTAATTTATTTATTGCAGTACTGGGGATTGAATACAAGGTCTTCACATTGAACTACATCCTTAGCCATTTTTTATTTTGAGATAGGGTCTCATTAAGTCACTAATTTGCCCAGGTTGAGCTCAAACACTGTCATCCTCCTGCCTCAGCCTCTCCAAGTGCTGGCATTACTTTGAAGTGCTAAAATTATTACAGTGTCAGAATTACAGGAATTAAGGTAAATGAATACAAGTAGTATGATGAATTAACTAAGAGGAAAATTGCAGTGTCCAAATCTATAATAATATGAATGGGAAATAGGCTTAGTTAACAACTTACTTTGACCTAATAATTGCACTTCTAGAAATATATCCTTAAGTTACACCTGTCCAAATATGAAGTAAAATGTGCATAATATTCAATAGAGTTCCACTGTAATAGGGAAAGAAGGACAATCATTCAAATGTGCATTCACATGATACTAATTAAATACCATCTAATATATTTATATAGTGTGGTAATGCTAACTAAATAAAGGCAGAAGGCTTGGAAGAATTAGAATAATTCTCACGCTGTTGCCCTTAATGAAATGGTTGATTCAGGCAAATGCCATTAATGCATAAGAATTGTAGGTGAAAACTGGTGTAACATTCAACATCTGCACGGCTCCAGTGTAACATGTTGACCTCTTTCAGGTACAATGGAGAATAAAGATGCTCCTTTTGGGCAGAAATGTGCCTGTCACCATTTTAATACAATCATCAAATGTCTGTCACTAAGGGGTATAGCTGAGTGGTATATCACTTGATTAGCAAATGTGAGACCCTGGATTTGAAACTCAGCATCTAAAAACAAATAAAAACAAAACTCAAATAAAGCAAAACAATAATGTAACATCACTGGTAGTGATACACCTCTGTTGTTTTTCTTTTTTCTTTTTGGTACTGGGAAGTGAACTCACAACCTCACACTTGCCAGACAGGCACTGTACCATTAAGTGATATCCCCGGCCCGTGATATACCTCTGGATGTAAGAGAATATAGATCTAACTTTCAGTTTACAGAAGACACACAAAAGAGGCAACACATTCAATGACACCAAAAAGAAAACAATCTGAGAAATCCAGACACTCTACAACACTTCCCTGATGCCTCAGAAAGTTAATGTCACAAGAAGAACTGAAAACTTGGTAGATATATATAAAATTAAAAGGGATTTAACAAATACAATGGACAATTGCAAAGCAAGTTTTTGAATGAATCCTGGTTTGGAAAAAAAAGACAAGTATGTTGGATAGTTAATTATATTACAAATCATTATCAGTTTTGGTTCTGGAAAATGGCATTGCAGTTATAAGAGGGAGTGTTTTGAAAATGCACTATGGCTTCCTTATGATGACTCTAGGTTGCTTTAAAATTCAACCAAAAGGAAAGAAAAAGCCTAAATTTACCTGCACATATACGTAGCCATTGCCAGCCACTTTCACAGTAAACTGTCCTGTAGGTTCTGGCATTATAATTTCTAGTGGCACCAAGCGATTCTCATCGTTCACGAGGAAGGATCTATTAAATGCTTTGTCGGAGAAAATCTGCACTGAATTTTGTCTGTTTTTAGAAAACGTGAGTGTTTGGAATAGCGTCAGAGCTTGGAGAGCCACAACAGTGTCCTAAAAGAACAACGACAGAAAAGGTGTTAGAGTATTACCTAGGACTTTGGAATCACAGTTCAATAGAAATGCTACCTATTGCAAGATCATTTAAAATGCTGTCACTTTTTGGCATTTTAAAATTATTTTGTGAAGTATACTTTCTATACTTTATAAAAAATAAATGAGGCCTTTGAGAAAATTTCTGTTTGACTCTTTAATTCAGGTAAAAACATTACCAATAGAATAGTAATGTAAGAAGAACCGAGGAAATTTTAAAAATGTCTACTGAGTCAGTCTTTGTTCTCCCAGATATTTAAAAATATAAGGCCAATCAATCTGTGGAAAAAATAAAAAGCTTGAAAAGATAAGAAAATATTTTCAATTGTGTTTTCCAGTAAGAGCAGCATTTTAAATAATTGGCTAAATAAATTATATATATAACACTGAGGTAACCAGTGGGCCATTTTAAAATATCAGGCTGGGTTTCTACTTATAATAAATCTATATCTGCATATATCATAGATTGATGAATAATTGAAATGTAATAAATCCATAAAAATACAAAAAATACAGACATGTATTTGTTTAATTTTGTTTAAATGCTAGTCTTAGCATAGTATTAAAGTGAAAACTTTGGACAGCATTATTAAATTAAGTGAAAATGAAAGGAAAATAATCTGTGTATGTAAAGTGTTATGCAGATTGAGGAAGACCAGAATTTGGTGAGGGTGTTACATGCAGTAGCGTGATTAAAATCTTTATCCAGAAGTCTTAAAAATACTCAGGAAAAAGGTTAAGACTCTTGTTAGGAAGTGTGTAAATGGTGTATGACCTGGTGATTCATCACACATGAGGTAAAAAGGATTTTAAAAAAGGAGAATATGCTCCATGTAAGTAGAATCCATGGGATTTATTTCCTACTCAGAATGAGTGACTGCTTTTATTGTGTCAGATCAAAAGAGATTATGAAAACTATTTTGAAGTTACATAGTCAAAATTATTCTTATATTGATTATAGTAATTGATTGTTGCCACTTTTCTGATAAAATCATAGCCTTTAGTTTGCCCATAAATTGTAGTGTTAGATATCTAAATTTCCATTTTAATAACTGAACAGAAATAACCTTTTGAATAAATACTTGGAGACTATTACTAGGTAAAAATCTACATCTTCCATAATCCTAAACTATGGCAAAGTAAGAAACAATAGCAAATTTAATGGTGATAAATATTTGGTTGTATAAAAGTAATATGTACATTCAAAGGCTAACTGTCAATGCAAAGTAGGTTCTCAATGTTTTCGCATGTAAAGATTTAAAAAATATATATGTTACCTGTGTGGAGGAGAAACCTCCACGGGAATTTTGCTGCTTTGCCACCCACTGTACAATCTGTGAAGCATAGGACAGCTCTTCCGAAGTCAGCCTTGGCTGAGAAAGGAAAGCCAGTAGGATGTAACTGGTTGTTTCTATATTTGCGGAGGAAGCCCAGTGGTCATAGGCGGATGGCCCTGTCAGTTCCCAGTAGACTGCGCCACCTGGGGGAAGAGTGAAAGGATGTCAATAGTGCCTGTGTCAAAGTGTGAGATTTACATATGTGGGCAAACAGGTGACGCTTGAGAAAGTGCGAACCTGACAATCCAAAGCAAACAAATGCCAAGGGATGATAACTTGGCACCACCTCTAGACTGTACCACCACTAGACATTTTACTTGTTCACCACGACTCCAGGAATGGTGAAGGGCACTCACCTACTTTCTTTGCCTTTTTGCTCAGTTCGTTGAAGAATAATTCCCTTTTATCTTTATTGTCTACTAAACTGAAAGTATAGGTCAAGACAGCCTGGTCATACGTGGTCAAATCACTCTTGTGAGCTGCACCCTCTATGCATTGAAGACCCTTTTGAACTGCCACAAACTACAAAGGAAAGAAAAGTCATTTGTGCACCACAGTACATATGTGAAAACACAGATGGTAGTATGTTAATCACTGGAAAAAATCAGGAATGAATCTTGTCTGTGCTGAAATGTTCAAAGTGCTAAGGAATGCATTTGTTTAATTTTTGCAGTTTCACATAGTTTGATTCACGGAAACATGCACAGTTCCTGCGTGGTTTGATTTGACAATCGAGAAGGATATTGGCTCAGCATTTCTTATGGTAGCTATAAATATAAAGTTGTAGCTCCTGTTATTATATTGAAGGTAAAAAAATGTTTTGGATTTATAGGAGGCAAGTTAGTGGTATCACCAGAGGTTACTTACTGAGATTGGGTGACCAGCTTCAAGCAGGGCATTGACAACATATGCAGTGAGTGAGATTTTATTATCTTCTTCACCCTGAATAAAGCACAGGAATAACATATGAGATTCATAGAATTCAGAGGAAGGGACATCTTTCTTTAGAAATGTAATGTGTTGTGAAAACTCAGATTGGTTGTTTCCTTCTGATTTTGGGGGTGAGTACTAGGGATCAAAGGGCACTCTACCACTGAGCTACATCCATGGCCCTTTTTATTTTTGAGATGTGGTTCCACTAAGTTGTTCAGGTTGGATTTGAACTTGTAATCCTCTTCCTTCAGCCTCTGGAGGAGCTGGGACTAAAAGTGTGCATCCCTGTACTTGACTTCTTTTCACATTTTTGGGGAGTGGTGGTGAAGTTTTTCATATCCTCAAAAGATACTATTTATAAGATGACAAAATAATGAATGAAAATGCAAGGAATTTACAGAAATAGAACATAATTTATAAAAAGTATGGGGCTAAGCAGACATTTAGATCAAAGGAAGCATAAGATGCCCTGCATAGCACCATTCCTCAACCTCATACTCTGTCTAGACATAATATGAAAAGTATCATGGAAAATGCATAAATAATATCATAATAAATGAATATAGCATGAAATAGAACAGGAGATCCATCAATGGAACAAATAGAACAGAACAAAATGCTGGCAAATACAGGAAGCAACACAACAAAATCCTCAAAAGTCAGTAAACATCGACAACATTGATTAACAGAGGCATTATATGTGGTAAACCACTTAGAATATGGAAATAAATCATAGATAAATTGCACAAAACAATAAAATAAATTCTAGCAGATCAATAATATTAGGTATAAATAAAATCACACTTGCTCTAAAAGTTTAATGGGCTATTACAAAAGGGAAAATAGAAACTGAAAATTATCATGTGAGAAGTACTTGTTTTCTGAAGCAACTGACTTGTAAGAGAAATAGTCAGACAGCAGGCCTTTGTTTTATGCCCTGTTATGGCTTAGCTCTAAAATGTCCCGCAGTGTTTCATGTGTCTGGAGGGAGACTGGTCATGAGGAAGCTATATTCATTGTCAATGAGGTCAGTATCTTAATGTACTGCTAGAAGTTGAGGACTGGTTGGACGTGGGCTCTCTAGGGTGTGACCTGGAAGGGTGAATTGATGTCTCAGGGTCCTCTTCTCTCTTTCTGATTTCTGCCTGCCCTGGATTGAGCACATTTTCCTCTTCCATGCCCTTCTTTTTCATTATTTTAGATGATTAGTACATGTGTTCTGTGCATAATAACATTTATACTCCTTGTGGGAAGTTGGTACATGTACACAACACATCTCAATTCCTTTTGTTCATCCCTTTGCCTTCCCTTCTCTCCACTCCTTCCACCTCCTGATGCCACTTGGCAAGCTCTTCTACCATGCTTTCCACTTTGGAGACACAGACTGAAACCATGAGCCAAAATAAACCTTTCTTCCTCCAAGTATCAGGTTTGGGAATTTTTTCCCAGTGGTAGGAAAGTAACTAAGACACCTCCTGTATTTCTAAATATTTTTTTCATACTTACATCATTCAATGTTACTGACAGTATTATAAGTCAGATAGATACTCCCTTTAGAGAAGAATTGTAAATTGGCATAACTTCACTAAAGCTCCATCTGGTGATATTATTTTAGAATCTTAAAAAGTTTTACTTGTAGATACCTACTCTAGGTCAATAATGACTTGAGGCACCTATTTTTGTACTAAAGGAATGTTTACATAACTCTTGATTGAGTTTCTTCGACATTGTTGAAAGTTCAACAAAGCATCAAATAATTTAAACAATTTATGGTTTATCCATATGATGGAGTATATTAATCTACTGATTTTATGTTAAGTTATTCTAATGTAATAGAGGACTCATAATGTTAGGTTTTAAAATAGGAGAATTAAAAACTCAGAGCAGGATAGTCTCAATTATATTTATATAGTATTGGAAAAAAGATCAAAGGAAAATATTGCCAAAATATTAAAGGTAGTTATCTCTAAGTTGCTGACACAGGATATTTTTTGGTTAATTTCTTAGGTTAAATCTCTGATTTTATTTTCAATAAATCAATTCCACTATAATAGTTATGCAGAAAATATTAGCTTAGGAAAAGTTCAGAAAGATAAGACAAATTTACTTATTAATATTTACGTTGAAGTTTTTACCAAATGCCTTGAGAGCATACTTTTAAGTGAAATAAATCAGAGATAAGTGTTTATCACATTGTTTCTCCAGTGTGAGAAACTGAACATGTAAATAAGGACCAAAGTGTATAATAAATATTGAGAAGAAAATAAATAATAAATATTGGGAAGAAAATGTTCAACTGAGAAAAAAATAAAGAAATTGGATTCTAATAATGTGATAATACTAATAAAGAATTTCTCTAAATGATAAAGCATTGAAATATTAGTAATTATCTTGGTTCTCTAACTATTTTTACTTCCATTACTAGTAATACTGCCCTAGTACCCCATCCTAACCACCATAAATACTGGTAGAATCTTCTAGAGTTTTAAATCTGACTGAAGGAAAGTAAATTATAAATTCATTAAGAAAGACTTCATAAATTTTCACTATAACTAATTTAAACCAGTAGAAATTTTAGTTTAAAAATTTCTATCAACTCCATCAGTGCTGCATTGGGATTCATTAAATGATCTTGATGAAAGAAATGAAAGCTGAAAGGCAGAATTCCTTCAGTACCTTCAAAGCATTGTTGAAATTATTGCCAAAATTTGGAAAGCAACCATCTGATTTCTGAATACTTAGAAGCCAAACAAGGGTCTGAGACTGTACTTTGTCATCAATATAAATGTAGCGCCGGGCTTGTGCAAATGACTTGTACACAAATGCTGTAAGCCTGAAAAGAATCATAGACAAGATATGTTTATAACCAGAATTGGGAGGCAAATTCTTATAAAAATGAGTGGTTTATTACAATTGCATTTCTGAGTTTCACATTCTGAAAAATTCCTTCCCCAAGTTCCAGCCTAATGTCTGACAGCAACTTATCCATCTCTTGTCAATCATCAAGCATTTGGTTTATAAATCTCTTCTTCTCCCCATCCATTCATCGTTTGTGTCCCTGATGAAGAGATGCCTCCTCTGTGATGTGTTCTCAGATTCTATTATATGTACTTCAAGCAACAGCAGAATTTCCCCCATCTTTCCCTTCTTAGCACCTAAAATTCAGAAAGCCTCCAGAAATCACAAAATGTTTTAACTACAAAAGTTAACAGCTGTGAGGAAGCACTTGTGATGTGTTTTCACATATAATAAGCGACTTGAAGTGGCTCGTCCACACACAAGCAAGGTGCGTACTTAGATATGTATTCCCACCTCTGCAGAGGCCTTCCTTACAGGTAAGTGCTAGGTCAAGTTCTCGTGTGCATGTAATACTCCTTGCCTGTCATCCAAGTGTGTCATAATACAGTTTCTGGAAAGTGTCACTCTGTTTTATAAGCTCTCACAGCATTAGGTGTGTAATTTCACTGCATCTTTTGTTACCTTGTGTTCTGATGTACTTTTTAATCCCTCATTACTGTACTATAAACTTCCTGAGGTCAAGGATCATTTATCATTTCTAGACAAAATAACATAATGAGTAAGAAAGAGATGAGATTCTGGTACATACACTAAAATTCTGTCACATACTTAACAGTGAGTTTGGAAAACTAATATCTCTGTGCGTTATAAGCTGAATTGTGTTCCCCTCATAATGATCTGTGAAAGTCCCAACCTCCAGAATGTGACCATTTTTGGAGACAGGGCCTTTAAAGTGGTAATGAAGTCAAAGTGAGGTCATTTCTATAGATTTTAATCCAATATGATTAGTATTCTTACAAGAAAAGGAAACGGGCAAAGAAAAGAGACCATGTGAAGCAGGAAAAAGGTGGCCATTTCTCAGCTGAGAAGAGAGGGCCCACAATCAATCCTTTCAAGACTTTGACTTCAAATTTCCATGAACAGAATACATAGAGAGCAAATTTCTGATGCTTCAGCCACCAACTCTGTGTTAGCCCTAGAAAATCAGTACAGTGTTTCTGTTTCTTCATTTGCAATAGGGGTATTATAATGTGCTCGATTGGATTGTCAGTTGAATTAATTACATTCAATTACAAAAGAAATGATAGTTATTATTGTAATGGGCATGTGTCATTTTGTACCTCAAGGATTTATTGTTCCCAGGACATGGTAATGAGAGAATATGGGCTTGAAAATAAAAGTTAATCCCCATAAAGAATAAATTTTACAACTTGCATCTTAAAATCATTATCTTTTTCAGGCTTTTTTAGGCTTAAAATAAATCAGAGCCTATACTTAACCTATATTTTATTTTGGTACTTTTTTCACTGTTTATAGCAAACATCTATCGACTGCACCATACATTTTTCTTATTTCACTATAGACGTCATATCCATACAGCTAATGCCTGTGTGAAACCATGCCTACAGAAGCAATGTTAAACCGGTCTTTGATGGTGCGTGGGATGATATTAGTATTTCCACTGGAATAATTTGTTTATACAACCAATGTGATTTCACATCCGTTATCTGGCCTCACTGACTTACTGTGTTTTGCCTATTGATTTACTTACTTAACATGCATTTTGTGCTAAGTAAAAGATATAAATTCTTGAACCCAAATCCTATTAAAATAATATGTTGTGTATGTGCATTGCCCTGCATATAAATAATTTGGAGGAGAAGGTCCATACTTTCTATAAAACCCTCAAAAATCTATGTTAAAGGATATATGTAGAAATATTTAAGTTCTGAAATACACGATAAAAGATACACACCATGTATTTTTCTGCTCATAGTTATATCCAAAGGTACTATATGATCCATCTTGATGTTTATAAGACATCTGCTTCTGATATCCTAGAATAAGGAAAAAGACATTATCATTTTTTGATTTGAAAATTATTGTCCAGAAAAATTCACTTAATTGCATATCTGTGTTTATTATAAGTAGATAAGGGAATATATACCTGTAGAAAATATGTTTATGCAGTTAAGAAGCAAAACAGCTGAGATTCAGATATTAAACTGAGAGTTTTAAATTTATTCTTTACCTGTGGTCAGGTACCCAATAGCCTTGGATTTTATCTCTTCTGTCAGTTGTTGAGTCTGATTCAGATAGTCCAAGATGTAAATATTGGAAGTGAATAGGGCCATATTTTGCTCCCCACAACCAAAAGGCATTTGTAGGAAATTCTGTAAGTTTTGTGTGGCAGAACCAAGAATGTCTCCTGCAAAGACAATCAAATCAATTTAGACTTCATAAAAATGGAGAAGATAAATATGAGTTTGTGTTCATGACCCCTGTATCACAGATATTCAGGATAACTAGTTTTGTATTATTGGACTCTTTTCTATTTGTTGGAGCCTCTCCATAAAATGTTGGCAATATGTTATCCAGCGCAGCACAGCCAAGAGCAGAAGGGCTAAATATTTGTGGGAATCAAAAGTTCTGAGAGCTCCCATGACAAAGTAGAAACTCCAAGCCAATGATCAATCAAAAGGGACAGAATTTGGACCAGATAAACATTTGTGAAATGTTTAGCATGTATCACATACTGTCCTGAGCACTTTGCTCATATTCATTCACTCAATACTTAGATCAACAATATAAATAAATACTCCTCTTGCCATCTGTAGGAAACTGGACATACAGAAGTTAAAAATTTTTCCAGTGTCATTCAAACAAAATGCAGCAGAATCAGGAATCAAGTCCAAATAATATGGTTTCAGAGATTCTGGACTTCCCTACTTCCTACACAGTTTCTTTCAGTAACTAACACTTATCTAGCATTATTGTGTATCTAGTGGAATATTAGCATCTGGATTTAATTTTTATAACAATCCTGTGAAGTAATATTATTCGGTTCACATAAAGGATTAGGGAGTGAGGCACAGAGAGGTTGAACAACTTGTACAAAGTGATACAACAAGAATTAAATTCAGGGTTTAAATATGGGTTTGCTTAGTTACCCTAAGGAATTTGTATACCTTGAAGATCAAAATCATATCAAGTATCTTTTCTGGTCACAAGGGTAGAAAGCTAGGAATTAGTAAGAGGAGGATACCAGTAACAATCACAAATATGTAGAAATTAAACACACATTCCTGAAAAACAAACGGGTCAAAGAAGAAATCTAAAGAGAATTCAAAAACATCTTACGATAGACAAAAGTATAAACAAAATTTACCAAAACTTATGGGATATAGCAAAGTAGTAAAAATGCTAATCTTATTAAAAGAAAAATTCAAATAAACTACCTAACATGTCACCTGAAGAAACACCCCCCCAAAAAGAACAAACAGCCAAAAGTTAGAAGAAAAGAAATAAATTATCAAAACAGAAATAAATGACATAAAGACTAGAAAATTTTAGAAGCCTAACATTTTCTAAAAATTTCAGTCTTTGAAAGTATAACCCAAATTGGCAAACCCTGAGCTAGAATAAGAAAAAGACTAAAAAAAATCAAATCATAAATGAAAGATGAACCACTGTAGTGGACACCAGAGAAGCACAAAGGGTCATGAGAGAGAACTATCAACAACTGCAGGCTAATGTCTACAGGAAATGAACAACTTCTCAAGACCAAATCATGAAAAAATAGAAATACAAACAACAGTCAGCAGTTAAAACTTTCCCAACAAGGAAAACTGAAGACCAAATGCCTTCACAGTGAATTCAATAAAATCTTTAAAGAATATTTAAAATCAATACTTAAACTGTATAAAATAGTTAAAAAGGAGGATAAACTTCTAAATTCATTCTATACAGCCAGTATTACCCTCGAACTAAAGCCATATAGGAGCATATACGATAAAATTAGCCCAATAACCCTGATGAGCATAGGTATAAAAGTCTTCAATATAATACAGGAAAAGTGAATTCACCCATACAATAAATGGATGGAAATCAAAGTCTTTGCAAATTAGATCACAAAAATAAAAAGGACTTAGGATGATGATCATGGATATGATGGTGTATATTTGCAATACATTTGTAGGATATCATTGTGCTTCAAGTGGAAACTAAGCCTAGGTAGTCCTTGATCTTGATCTTGGAAGATGCTAATTATGCAAGACTTTTTTCCCTGTTATGAGCACTTTTCTAGTGTGCATCTTCCCCATCACAACAATATAGGATATAACCACAGTGCTGCATTGAGTACAGAATCCCTTCCACTGTATTCCTCAGATCTCCAACTTAAATCTTACCCCTGCGTTGTACATAGGTGATGAGGAGGCTGTGGAGGCTAGACATGTCAGGATTTGTGAAAAATGATGGAAACAGTTCCTGGAGGTAACCAGTTTTGATACTGTAAGTGAGCCAGAGAGCAATTTTCTGGTTTTCAAAAAGGGGACAATGATAGGTATATATGATTTTAAATTTTTACATATATTTTATGTTTTATGTCTGGAAGTGTTCAATAGTTGTTAATGATTACCTGGAAGCTTTTCCAGTTTCTGGCACATTACTAAGGCTCTAGTATCACAGGTCTTGCAAGTTAACAAGCTTTGTGTAGCTTTGGTTATTGACCTACAAAGACCCTCAGCTTTGTGTGGAGTGTTGCTTACTCTTTCTTGAGTACTGCAACTCCGATTAAGAGAGTTTGATACCACTATTTACTGGTTCAGTCTGATATCCTCTAAAAATCACTGGTTTCTGAGAAAACATCAGAACTTTTCTTTACTAAGGTGGTCATATAGGAGAAACCAGGCAGAAAGTCAATGTCTAGACTAAATTTTATGAAAATGATCTTTAGAAAAGGGAAGAGTTAAAGTGAGAGTATGTTGGAAGCTCTGGCACTTGAGTTCTTCCTGTAGTTAGGAAGCCACCTCTGTGAACAAATTCCAAGGGCAGATATGGAACCCAGAGAGATGACAAAACTAACAAGCAGAACCATGGCAGAAAAAGACATAACTTTTCCTTTACTTCCAAGCTCATGTATGACCCCCTTGTATGATGGTACTGTAGACTTACCAACAACAGTCCAATAGGCTCTGAGGGTCCCTTCCACCAGATTATCTGGTAAAGTGAGCACCACTGATCGAGACACTGTGGATCCTAGGAAACAGAGAAATAAATTAATTAATTCAGAATTCTAATCTTTAAATCAGAGTTTTTACTTCAGTAATAATTTATCTTCTTGATTATTAAATCACTTAGTGCTTTCTTATTGATTATTGCAAACTGTAAAATAATCGGAAACAGGCCAAAAGGATTTCATTAATTATAACTAATTGGATTTACTTACACAGTTTTCAAGGTCAGTTATATTTTAACATATGAGAAAACCTTAATTTTGGAAGGCACATTACAATTTACTGTGTACTTTCAAACATGCTATTTAATTAGATATTTACAAAATGACTTATTGTGTATGTACAGACCAGACATGCCCCCTGACCCCTTAGGAGAGAAGGTTCAGGCCAAAAAAAAAAAAAAAAAAAAAAAAAGGGATTTGGACTGTCACATGATTCAAAGTAATAAAACTCATAATTTGAACATAGGTTTTATGAATCCAGAATCAGTGTGCTTCCCAAGCTGGTGTTAAAGTGCTCTCCTACCAGCCTGTGTTCCTTTAGGTGATAAAATAGGAAAATAAATGGAGATGTGTGGCTTCTTTAACTACAGGAGTCTGTAGTATTTCTGACATTCAAGCAAAGAAACAAGTAGCTGCCATTTTAAATAAGTAGATAATAACAGAATTCTGTTCTGTTCTAGTATATTCTGTAAAGCAATCTAGATGTTGCATTTTGTGGAACAAAAAGATTTTTATGCAACAGTTATGGGTCACAGCACTGGGTAGATGGCGGACCACTCAGGATGTAGTAACTCAAAAAAGACTTGCTATTATTTGGCTCCAAGGTGGGGGGCAAGAGAAGGTTCTACAAGTCATGGTTCAGATGAACCATCATCTTTAAATAGAGATGATTCTACTTTGGTGGTTGTCTTTTGACAGAATACTTTTAGTAATTATGATTATTTTAATGACTAATTCAAGGTTTGGATAAGGAGAATGTAAGAGGGAGAGATGAGTTGAATAAAAATCAAGGGGGCTCAGATTTCTCAACTGGGGAGTAGAGAAAATGGAAAACCTAAATGTTTAAATTCACACTGGTGTGCAGGATGCTTAGATTTCATTATTTGCAAGTAATTTAATCTTTTTCAGTAGCCATATTTCTGAGAAGAAAACATAATATGATTAAATTTCCAAGCAAAGACAATGCTGCTATGTCAGCAATACTGGAAAGCAGTGTACTCACCATTGGTGTAAATAAACAAGCCCTGTGTTGTCTCCTTTTTAATACCTTCAGGCTAAGTATTGGGAGAAGAACAGGGGGTAGTCATAATCAATCTTAAATCGAGTAAATTCAGAATATTTTTGTATTAATAATAATGTTTAAACAGAATAAATAATCACCAAAAATTATTACAAATGATTATATGAATGTTAAGGTCCAAGATAATGCTGAAAAGTGATTTTGTGTGCTGTGAGTTGAATATCACTAAAATTGCAGGAAAGGACTAACTAAAAAATCTTTCAAGCTCCAAAATCCTGCCATTTTATTACAAGAATATTATACACTTTATTTTAAAGTTTCTTTCTACAGTTTAGACTAAATGTCTGTCCCTGGTCTTTTTTCCAAATATTTAATCAAAATAATATATTGTATCTAAGTGGATCACTCCTATTTCTATGAACCCTGAAAGTGATAGTTAACACTTTTTTATAAAGATAAACATTCTGTAGGACAGATTTTTTCCCCTGGTTCTTTAATTTTTAAAATTAATATGTATTAATCATACACAGTAATGGAATTTATGTGTTATTTCTATGCATGCGTACACCATGCACTATTCAAATCCATCCTCCCCACAACAATTCCCAATGCCTAGTAACTGCTATTCTACTTGCAGGTCTAATTTTTGTAGCTGCTCATAGGCGAGAGAACAGGTGGTACTTGTTTCTTGTCTCAGGATTATTTCTCACAGAATAATGCCCTCAGTTCCATCCATTTTGCTTCCAATGAAAGGATTACATTCTTCATGGCTGAATTAAAATGCATTGTGCATTTAGGCCACATTTTGTCCATGCATTCATCTGCTGATGGGCAACTAGGTCAATTCTATATCTTAGCTATTGTGAATAGTGTGGGAATAAATATAAATTTAGATAAACATTACTTTGAGGTCTTACCTCCACCAACAATGGTTTGATCAATGTATCCTTCCAGCCAATGTCCTGAGCCAGGGATGACCCATTCTCATCGATAGTATTCTGCAGGGTTTGAGCTGTGATAGTGAGGTTGACTACACCTGAAATGGCAAAAATATAAACGATAAAGTTATTAGAATGGAGAACCAAGCAAGAGGTGATCATTGACTCTAAGTTGAGGTAAACTATTAAAATAATCAAAATTTTACAGAAGAGAGAATTAAGTATTGCAGTAAGTATTAAAAACATAAATTCTTAACTTGATTCAGAACTTGATTCTAACTGCCCAAGCCTGGACCCAGGTAGATTCACCTTGGGTTGTAAAAGAGAAAAAGCAAGGCAATAGGAATAGGAGAATAGGTAGGTGCTAGTACTAAAAAGTGGGTAAATTAGCTACAGCAGAGAAATAGTAGAAAGCTCTTAGGCAAATTTACAAAACAATGTAAACAAATGTAGTAACCACAGATCTCACCCAGTTTATGTGGGGTAACCAGCCAGCTCAAAGATTTTTTCTCATTGCTCCTTGTATAATCATTTTCATCATTAATCGAGAGAAATTTGGCTTCATAAAGTTTAGATGCTTCCAGTTCAGTATTAATCTGTGAAGGCCAGACAAGAGACAGGAGGAAGATTTAAACCTTTTCATACATAAGTGTAGCAATCCACATGTTTGAGAAGCTACAGAAAATTTCCTACCTTTCACATTTTCTGCTATGAGAAGAACGATTTCCAAACCATGGGAAATTACCAACATCCTTTTAGTTAGTTATAATAATTTGACCTTTCACATTTACAATTTTGAAAAAGCAGTCAACAGTTATTGACATACTCAACAATGTATTTCTTTAGAAATTTGCAGCAAAATAAGCAAGCATTTTGACTAATCTGGGTTGATCAACATATCATTCATTATTATAAGCTGCAGTTTCCTTTTTCTTATTTATAAATTGAAGCTAGTGTCATCTACAGTTTGCAATCACTGTGTATGCTATAGCAAATAACATATAAAGTAATGTCTAGAACAGTCCATCCTTGCCCAGGCTTACAAATAAGGAACTTTACTAACAAATAAGCAAACACAAATTTTCTTGATTATTAAAAATAGTGTTATTTTTCCTAAAAATGCATATTTCTCAGGACCACATCCTGACAAACTCAATAATAGGTTTGCATGCTTTATTTCTTATTTTTAGTTTTACTTTTTATGGTGCTGGAGATTAAAGTCTGATCCTTCTGCATGATAGGCATATGTTCTACCACTGAGGCATACCACAGGCCTTTTTATTTTTTCAGCAAACAGTATCACTTAAGGTAAAAATATATCAATCATGTACATGACTTGGCATGTTGGATATGTCATGCTGTGCCTACTATTTACTGGTGTTGTCCTTTTGTTGTCCTTATTGTTGCAACAATAAGGACCACATTGTTATTGTAGATACTGTTGAAATTTATTTTTTATATAAAATTATATGGAAGGGAAACAAATCCAAAACTTATTTATAGTGCATTGGGCAAGATTCATAATGTCATTTAATTCTCATAAGAACTGAACCAAATACATAATAGTAACAATATTTCATACACTAATAAATTTACCCTGAGAGAGGGCTGTATATTGTTCAAAGCAACAGATCTAGACAAAGAAAAAACTAAGAAGTGAACTCAAGCTTAAACCTCTGGGCTTTTTATACTATAAAATTCATAGATATTGTCAAACTGTCAAAAGTCAACCACTAAGAGGAGGTATAAATATTCTGTACATCCTCAGGCAATCCAGTGGAGAAAGGTAAATAATTTAAAAATCTAATTAACACCCAGTATAATTACTTCGTAAGTCCTTCTACTTTAGAAAGGTCTTATATATAAAATTCTTGGTTATGTTTAAGAATTGAAGGTGAAATATTTTTCTTCATTCAGACATTCCCACTCCTCCTGTCACACACTTGGAAAAAGTTAAATCATAACGGTGGTCTTAAATTCCTTTATGTTCAGCCTACCATTGAGAGATAGTAATACGTATTTCCAAACCTCACTGAATAGTTGGTAAAGCTGGTAATGCCTTAAAAATCTTAGGAAAGATAAGTTCAACTGTAATTTAAAAATAATTTACACAGGCAATAATTTGGTATATACTAAGAAGATTTGAGTTAGTACCTGAACACTTCTGTTCAGGTAGTTGAAGACATTGGCTTTCAGAATGAATGATTCTCCTCGAACCACTGAATAAGGTAAAGTGACTTCCAGAAAGAAGGACTGAAAGGCCGTCAGGGGGATGGTTGGGGAGATGCCAAATCCAACGTTGTCATTCATGCAGAATCCACTGGCCTTCCATTGCGTAATGGTATCGGGAACAGTAAGACTCAGGTTGGCGACTCCTGCGGAGCTGCACAAGGAGACCCAGGCAACACTGAAGACAGGTGCTTTCACCCATATGATGCATAGCTGGAGCATTTCATTGATTTTACATGCTTTCCTCTGTTAAACACTAGTAAATTAAATGCACTTATTTATAGCACATTTATTCAACCCTACTGATAGTTTTAGAAATATTAGTTTTAGAACTATGTAGAGCCACACATATAGTTTTCAGGTTTAATATGTTCACATTAGCCTCATACTTGAATTTTTAACACCTATTGAGAAGCTCATTTTTCTTAACCTCCCTTTTTTCCTTCCTCATTTTCATGATTTCCTCCTCTTGTATTGCTCCTTTCACATTTGTGCTTCTCTCTCCTCTCTCCCTTAGATCCGTGTATACTCGATGAGTATTACACAACAGAAAACAACGTTTCAGACTGTTTTGTAGTCTCCCACTTTATTTCCAACAAAATAAAATTCTAATAAAAATGAATGACAAAAGAAGAATCAGAAGAATTGAGGGAAATCTATACTATTAAAATTGCTGAGTATATAACTAAAGTGTCTTTGATATACATTCTTTATATTTTTAAATGCAATGAGTCAGCATGTCATTAGTTTTCATTGAAAGATTTTTAATATGCATACAGATAGATCACTAGATAAATAAACTTTCATTTAAAAAAAGTAACAGAGTGAGAAATGGAAATAAGAAAGGCATAAAAAAGTAGAATATAAAAAGGAAAAGAGAATGTAGTAGAAACATATCAGAGGCTCTGCAGAATTTCTTTATAAATTTTCAACATTTTGGACACATTTGCTTTGAGAAGGCTGACAAATATTATGAATATTTTCTGTCAGGAAAATAAAAAAATATAAATGTGGAAAAACAACGACAACAACAATAACAATAATGACTCACTCAGTTGTGATAAGATTCCAAACCCAAGTTTCAGGGAATGATTTCCTCACAGTTTCTTGATAAAATCCACCAGCTTGAGGTTCTGAATTTGAAGTTAATTTTGAAGATCCAGCTAAAATAGAAAGTGTTAAATGTTCTCAATAAAAAGGCACTAAATATTTGGAGTGATATATATGCTAATTAGCCTGATTCCATCATTCGGCAATATAATCATGTACTAAAACATCAGATTGTACCCCATAAACAGTTATTTTTGCTAATTAAAAAGAAAATAAAACAAAAATAAAAATATATCTAAAAGGGCAAATAAAATTTTTTAGTAGATGAAGTTATGTGTTGAAGATAATATTTAATAATAGTAGTAGTCATCATTCACTTAATTATTGCTATATATTTCAGTCAGTATTTTTTTAAAGAGAAAAAATAAAAGTAGCAATAAAAGAGTTTCAGAACAGGCTGGTAGAAGATAAACAACAATTAATTCTTTGTATATTGTTATCTTCATACTAGTTATTCAGAGTACAAGATACAGACATGAAATATTGTCTAGACAATATTAGCATAAACCTTTCTTCTCATTGTACTAAGAAAAACTAGTTGTGTAACTAGCCTATCTTGTGTATATATATATATTTTTTCTTGTTTCCTTTCCCCATCACAGTTTCTCTTTTCTTTTAAACAGTTTCTTACCTATTCACAATATCTATTGTACATTTTGCATCTTATTTACACGTTCAGTTTCACACTAGTGAGACAATATGATGCTTGTACATGTCAGTCTGATCTATTTCACTTATGTGTATGGTCTCAAGTTGCATCCATTTACTACAAAAGTCTCAAGTTTATCCTTCTATATGCCTGAGGAGTACTCCATTATATAAGTATATATCTTTGTATCTATCTATCTATCTATATCTATCTATCATCTATGTAAAACACATCTTTTTTTATCTGTTCCTTGGTTGATGGGCACTTGGATTATTTCCATGATTTAGTTACTACAAATTATGCTGCTATAAACATTGATGCATGTATATCATTACAGAATGATGTTTTTAATTCTTCTGGGAAGATAGTGAGAAGGTGAATAGCTGGGTCGAATAGGACCTTAATCCTAGCTTTTTGAGGAATCTCCACACTAATTTCCACAGTGGTTGCACCAGTCTGCACTAGTCTTCACCAGTTGCACCAGTCTGCACTCCCACCAACAGTGGAGAAGGGTTCCTTTTTCCCAAAGCCCCCTCAGAATTTGTTATTGGTTGATTTCTTGAGGATAGCCATTCTTTCAGTCAGTATCAAAAGTGTTTTTATGTATATTACTCATTTAAGCCTCATCAAACTTCAACAAAGCTTTAATAGCCCACTTGCAGATATTTCTTATATTTGGAGAATAATCTTTTAATATTTTAAGAATGCTACTTAACAAGTTAGGAGAACATGAATTATTCATTCCTGCATTCAATTATCATTGATATTTTATCATATTAAACTTCACAAGCAATATGGAAATACACATAAAATAAGCTGGAGATAAAAAAGTAAAGTCAAATTGACCTTTAACTTTTACCACCAATCACTTTATCTCCCTGTATATCTTGATAATATAATACTCATTTTAATATCTTTTTCTCACTACTCAGTTTTCCATATAATTTCCGATGTAACTTCCACAGGTCATTATTTTGTTGTTCCTCTTTCATGGTCTTTCAAGTATAATACTGCTCAGGGGTTGAGAGTTCTTCCTTGAGATCATGTATTCAGTAGGAGATTTTGTGGGTACATTGAAATGCCAACAGCCCCTCAGTTGGATAGCCTTTAAGATTTTTACTAAGAGGTTTGGCTGGAGCCACATGCGGGCTGATTCATGAATCCAGCCCCTTTCATGTGTAGATGGTATTGTTATGGTCTGTTTCTGGTATCAGGAACATCAGGGCTGTGTATTTTCAGCACTTATTGTGTCCATCGGATTGGGTCAGGCTACTGGGCCGTTCACTACAAGTCAGCACCAGCTAGAGCTGTCACCTGCTTACTTTAGAAATAACCCTGTATACATACCGATGTGTGTTCATTTCTTTCTGCTACGTTTAGCCCATATTACATTTAAGCAAATGTAAAATAACATATACCTATAATGTAGACCATATAAATATTTAAATATAAGCCATTCTTTTTTCCCTGAAGAATTGTTCCTTTTACTCACTAGCACCATAATTATTTCGTATGTATCTTGGGAAGGTACACAAACTTGACAAATACACAACTTTGGTTAGTGGGCTTATTTCACATCCATGCAAATAATATTATAGATATTGCTATCTTTCTTATTTTTCTTCCTTAAAATTTATTCTTTAAATTTACTCATGTTCTTAGTGCTGTAAATATTTCATAGCATCTATTCACCACACAGTATTTATCCTATCTTTTTAAGAATGACCACCTGGGTTGGGTCAGGTGACAACAACGTGCTAGACATTCCACAACATTCATGTCCTCTTACAGACTTGTCTTGATGTGCTTCAAGTTTAGTTGCTATGGTAGAAGACAGATGCACTTCTAGACTCCACACGATGGTTGTGCCATATTACGGTCTCTCTAATGTCTAGGTATGCCTCTATTTTGTTCCCTTTGGGTAATTATTATTATTTTACTTTTCATTCATTTCTTTTTGCTATGACTATGTTGACCAGTTTCTTGATAGTCTTTTAATTTTTTATTTGATTATTGGTGAAGCTAAATATCTGTTCATGTAGTTTTTATCTATTTGATTTGCCTTTTTCATATTATGTCATAATATTGTTTGCTTATCTTAAAATTTTCTGAGATCATTCAGGTTTCTGATTAAAGGTCACCTCTCCATAGATATTTTCTCTGAAAATTGCTTTAAACAGGATCCACATGTTTGCATTTACCTTGTTTTATTTTCTTTACAGTACTCCTCAGAGAGGTAGTACAACATAATAAAGTAATATGTACTTGTGTCCAGAAAGCCTGGATTATAATCCCACCCCTGTCATTTACTGTCTATTCCATTGGACAAGTTACTTAAACTCCCTATACTTTATTTTTCTCATTAGTAAATTAGAAATAATAGCTTCTAATCTATAGACTATGAGGAATTAATTGGTTGACATTTGAAAATGAGTAGAACATCACTTGACACTTTGCACCATTCAGGAAATATTAACTATCAGAGCACTTACTATCATTTGACATTATGCTATTTATATATTGTCAGTACTCCAAATTTAATTTAAACTCCGTGTAGATAAAGATTTGCCTTTCTCTCTCTTTTTTTTTTTTTTCTAATGGCGGCAATTTCGTGTTTATTAGAGGTAGGAAAATAACAGAAGGAAAAACGGGCACTACAGAGCAAGTTTTGGGCCAAGTAAAAAGGAAAGAAAAATTAAAAAATAAAAGTATACCCTACAGTGTGAAGAGGGACAACAGCCATTGCCTGCTTTATTCTTATTATGTTTCTAACATTTGGTTTGATAGGCACATTGAATGAAATAAAAAAACAAGATAAAATTGAACAACACCCTCCCCTCTTTTGTCAAATCGGTTTATGGATGTTATGAGATCATAAATGGTCAGCTGCCCTTCACATACAAGACTCACTTGCCAAAAGTCCTTCATGCGAATACTGATATTTTAAATCTTGGCACAGCACAGGTTTCCGGAGATGAGAGTTGGTAAAAACCTTTAATCCCATTGCCTTTCAAGATAAAATCAGTTTTAGATTACACAACAGCAGAGACAAACAGTATGGACCAGTTCTGTGTAAACTTTAAATTTTGTTTTCATATTTATGTCCCCATGCAGATCTACAGGTCATGTATTTAGAGGTACATCATGGTTGTTTTCTAAGGTCTATGTTTTCAATTTCTTTAGTTTCTTTGATTTAAGAACTTGTTTTTTGATTTTGGGACTTTTTTCTGATTGATGAGAAACTAAATGAGACGTAAAAAAAATAACTCCAGTTCATAGCATGCTCCACTACCTTGTCACTACCCTGAATTTTTGCTAGACTACATATAATATCTCACTTACAAACACTACTGGTATTTTTGCTAGACTACATATAATATCTCACTTACAAACACTTCAAAAATGTATTCACTTTAACACAATAGAATTTAAATTGAAAGGGTAGATATAGGAGCGAAATATTTGGGCATTATATACTACATAATATAAGATGCCTACAACACTGTTTCAGCAGAACTGATAATTCACTCATATACTAGTTCTTTATCTTATATGGGAACATTATTAGTTCTTCAGACTACTACCATAATTATACAATACTTTATTACTAAATTTATAACATTTTTATAAACATGTTAGTTCTTTTTCTAACATAATAGTCTCTGAGATATTAGTTCTCAGATATTAATAGTAATTATAATTTAGTGCTTTGAACATTCTTGGATTAAAAACTCACATAATGACAATTTTTTAACTGTTTTAATTCCAACTTGTTTATATATTCTCACGCATAGTCACCATTTTAGCAACTAGTATCTTACCTTCACAAGGTCATAAGCATCATTTCCAAAATCAGCCCATACAGGAGCGTAATAAATGCCTTTATAGAGGATTTGTTCATTTGTGAGACAGGGCTCTTTACGTCCATCTTCTAAGTCAACTCCTTCGAAATAATAGCCATATAGTTCCTTGTAATATAGCTGATTATATACCTAAATGATAGAAAGGAATCAAGTATTTTTTGGGGGGCGGTACTGGGAATCAAACTGAGGACCTTGGGCTTGCCAGGCAGGCACTTGTGCCACTGAGCTATAGCCCCAGCCCCTTAAGTATTTTTAAAAGAAAGCAATTCGTCCTTTTCTCACAAGCAATTTATAAATAAGTAGATACTGGGAAAGAACAGCATCTCAGAGCTGCAAAGACACTGAAATATTATTTAACTCATTACATAATTGCTCGCTTAGTCATTTTCAAACCAACAAAGTTACATAAGAAACCGGATTTTAATACCTTTGAGGTCAAGGCATTCCTTGATATTCCTTGGTGACTTATTCAAAGATATTATCAGAAAAATTTACAAAATCTTGCTGTACTTAAGATTATTTATTTGTTAAAATAGGGATATTTATTAATCCTATATGTTTACTATGTGAATAAAACAACATATTAAAGTATATGATATCAGAATATTCAGTAAAGCATTGTCAAGTGATAGACATTCAGTAAACATTTTTTTTAAAGGGGTAAAAATAAAATGTAAAACAGTTTCTTAAAGTGGTAATGCTTACTTTTAGCACAAGGAAATTTGTACAACCAGTAACTAGAGGTCATTTGTCATGATTTCTAACCTAACCTATTATTCTTCCCCAAATTCTGGCCAACTTGTTTGTTCCCTAGTTTATTTGAGGTGTCCCAGTTTTCTTTAGAAGTAAAGACATAGATGTCTACAGCTGGTGGTAAATCAAGGTAATTTTCATCACTCACGCTCTGTGCGGACAGCTGACCATAATTACTCAGGAGCAACACACTTTGATCTACAGCTAGAAGAGCACAGAGAGAGTTTGAAGCAGCTGAGACTTGCAGGCTGACGCTAGATCCTGGGGAACTTCTTTCTTTAGAAAAACTTAAGTTGACCTGAAAATGAAAATGAAAGAGTGAAGAGATTGCAAGTCATATGGGCAAATAATCTTTTAGATTATTATTAACCTGAGTGATCTATTGTCTTGCTGGCATGCATCACTTAAAACGACAGGAAAGACAGCCACGGTGAGTGTTATAATCCACTTTTTTACTCATCCAACATGTTCACTTTCCCATTCTAGCTTTCTTTTATTTCCCAATTAGAAAAACAGAGAAATAAAGATGTAAGCTCAATACATTTTAAAATTCTCCTTAATTTTCCAATAAGTTGAATAGATATGAAAAGAATTTTTTTCCTTTTTCCTCACCTTATTTTTGAAGCACTTCTCAATTTGGAATCTGGCGGTGTCTGCGACCATTTCTCCAGCAGGATGCAAGCCATACACCAACATAACTGCAGAGGGCGCCAACTCGGTGCTCACCTCTACTGGAATGGAAAATTCCCCCTTCACAGCTGTGAATGAAAAGCCCAGCGTGACAAAGTGCCTCGGTGAGAGTGTTGATGCTCATCTTGCAGAGACCCTTCACCAGATTCCTAGCTACCTCCATCTCCCGCCAGTGAGGAAGACCCAACTCCCAAAATCTAATAGGTAAATCATATGTAGGAAGAGTTCATAACCCGCTCTGTAAATGGTAAAAGAAAAGAAATGTTGGACATGGATCAAGCTTTAAAGTTTTGTTTCAATTCTATTTTTTCTTGTTTGAAAGTAAAACTACATAACTGTATTTCTTAAAAGAGAAAGGGAAGGACCAACGAGTCTCTCTTATAATAGTATTATGAATATAATTAGCACTATAAATATTCATTAAGTGACTTTTTGGTTTGGCATTGTACCTACTATTCATGTGTCTTTATGTATTTTTCAGGGACATTTTGGGGATAGCAAACATGCCTAAAATACAAACGCTATGACTTTTTAAAAAAAGTCAACTATATCTCAATTAAAGCATTACATTTACATTAAATCCTGTGCTAAGAGCAGAGGCCTCACCATCATCCTTGATCTCAATTTTCTGTTGTCCATGAAGAATGATAACACCTCTTGAAATCACCTAGGAGAATAAGATATTATGATGAAGTTTAGGGAAGACAAACCAGGCTCCATTTAACTACAAACTTACGTGGTTTATCTGTTTCCATAGTCTGAATACACAATAAAAATGTTTTTCCTTGTGCTCAGGACATCTGTAAATGAGCATATGTCTCTAATAACTATATTTAAGGGGATTTAGGAGTCATGGATAAATTTGCTATTAAGCAAGTTAGTGGTTTGTGTTACAGATTTACTCCATGTGGAAAATATGCTTTTTATTCATTTTTTTAAGCATTGAGTACAACTAAATTTATTTACATTAAAGAAACAAAGTTACACAGAGGCACTGTCAAGGGAGCGTTCTTGAAGAGTTTTCTGAGATGTATTCAATCTGTAAGGTATAAGAGAGGCTTGCTCATCCATTTTAACTCAAAATTTGAAGAAAAATGTTTCTCTCACTTCATCATTGTCAGCAACTTTGTGCAAATTTACACCAGCATATTTGGATTATGATCTCCAAGGGGCAGGCAGGAGACTTGAAATTTGTTAAGAAAGTTATTGTGGTTTTTAAGTTAAAATTTTGGAATATTATTTAAAAAGATGCTGAGACTTGGAGAAATGTAAAATCTTCCATGAAATTATGCAGCCTGGAATTGGTACAGCAAGTTATCTTACTTTAGTTAGTGTTTCTTACATCTCCAAAAATTACATTAACTCTCTGAAAAGCTAATGTTGGATAACTAATTGAGTGGAAAAAAAGTAATGGAACCTCTACTCGTTGCGAAATATTGTATTTGGTAGTGAACATTAAAAGACACGTAAAACTCATCACAGATGAGGCTTCCAGGCACTGCTCAGAGGACTTTTAGACATTAACTCACTGACTTCTCAAAATAAGGCAGCTCTTACCACAGTGAAGAGGCTCACAGAAGTACTTATAAACGCCCCAGACCACACAGTTATGCTGATCCTTTAAAATCTTAACAATTCAACTCATTAGGTCTGCATTAATTTATGCCACAGTATTGCACTGAATGTCTCCCCTGGATGTGTAACAGGCCAGGCAAACGTACACAGTAATGGATCAACAAAACATAGTCCTGCAGGTGGCAGAGTGTTGAGAATACTAGGGGAGACAGGCACCTTCCAAACAACCACGTATAAAAAGACATGAGCAGAGAAGCTGATGAGTGTTATGAGGAAAAATAAAGTCCGTTAAGGCCATTATGGAAAATAAATGTAGAATTATTAGAGACATTAAAAATTTCATTTCCAATGAGAGAGGAAAAATGAGCAAAATTCCTCAAGGAAAACAGGGCTCAGGCAGCCGGGGGAGCCCTGGGAACAAATGGGAAGATTTTTATGAATCCATGGAACTCACGAAGGAACAGGAAGGGCCTCTGAGTCCGCAGTCAAGAAAACCGCAAAGCAGAAGCTCGCGAAATGAGGCTGGCAGGCCGTGCAGTTCCAGAGCAGGCAGAGAAAAGAAGTTTAGTATTTATTTTTTTAGATGTAGCAAGTTGTCAAATGTATTTCCATTAGGGGATGGAAATAATCTCAATTGCTTTTGAAAAATATCACTCTAGGTTTCTAGATTTAAGAAAGAAGGAAAGAAGGAGAAGTAGAGAAAGAAAAGCATTTCTTATGTTAGGACACATATAACCTTGAGCTAGGGTTTAAAATAGAAACCACAGGAGGTAAATGCAAAGCTCTCATCGAAGCAGAGAGAGATCAGACTTCAGCTAACCCAGGAGGGAAGCAGGTCAACTCGCGCCACAGCCCTGCAGAACGGCTGGGTTCTGGAGCGGGAGAATTAAGAACGGGCGAGCAAGATGAGCAAGGGTGGAGCAGTGCGGAGGAAGGAGGGAAAAGCGAGATGTCTGAGTGCCTTTAAAAGACTAAGTTCAGCCTTTCATTCAAATGTGTTTAGTCCTCCTCAAGTATTAGTACGGCAATATCGCTGTTGAAGTGCTGCGGACTTTCTGTACTGCTGAGTATAGCTAGAGTCGCTTCTCCGGGCGCCCTGTGGTTCTTAAACTGTAATGCATCAAAGTCACCAGGAGGGCTTGCTCAAACAAGACTGCTTTGCTGCAGCCCGGGAGTTTCTGATTCCCTAGGTTGATAATGGGGCTGGAGCATCTGTAGTTCTCACTATGTCCAGGTGATAATAACAGCTAGCCTGGGGATCACACTCTGAGAAGCACTATCTACATTCTGTGACTAGAGTTAATCACTTATTCTTCTGTATCAGCTTAGTGGCCATGCCTATTTCATTTGGTGCACTTAGGTCATTATAATTTATGTTTTATTTCCAGTTATACTTAGTTATACACCATTATTACACTTCCTAATACAGTATCAGGGATATGAAGATCATTTAATAATTGTTTTGGACTGAGTTAACCTGTGCTTCATTAATTTTATATCATCTTCACCCATCTTGATGAAGGACTGTGCATCCATTTAGATAACATAAACTAATAATCTATCATAATTATCCATTATGATAAAAACTAATATTTAATGTCTTTCACTTGCTAGAAATTGGGCAAAGGGTTTTATGTGTGTTATTTCATCTAATTCTTTTAACAACTGTATAATTAGACAGAATCTTACCAAAAAAATTTAGGTTCCCTAGAGCTTAGTGGATTTCAAAAAGTAACACACAGCAGGTAAGTTTCAGAACGATGATTTGATCTGAGCTATGTACAAACAGAAGTGGATGGTGAGAATGGTGAAGTGGTTAGGGGTTATGGCAACTAGGCCCTCCTTGTTATCTTTCTCTTTTTTTTTTGATAGAAACTTCAGTTATATAATTTTCTCTAGTGCGTTGTTTGAAGTGTTTCATGATATTTGGGTAAAAGGATCTACATTAGGTTCAAAGACACTTGAAAGTCAAGAAACAATTTTGCACGTAGAAGGATATTTTCACTGCTCACCAAATAATTGAAGCTCACTGTATAGGTTTTATCTTCAAGGTCTTCCATGTTAAGAAGGTAGTGCACTGTCACTTGCTTCTGCTGGTTACATCTCAGTTCTTCCCTCTCTGGGACAATCTTTAGGAAGCTATTAGTCCTGGAGTAAAATCTGTACACGAAATACTTTGGTGTAGGGTATTCAGGTAACACCCAGCCATGAGCCTTGCAGTTTTCATTGTCCTTGTAGGTTGCCTAGACAGAGAATGAAATTTGCATTGATATTTAGATAAAGGGAAACAATATGTAAAAGAATATTTGATAAGGTGGTTTTATAGTGCTGTTCTATCTCTATGGGAAAGTTTCAAGACACTTTTTCCTGAATTCTAACCCAATTCATCTCCAGTTATACTCTCAGAAGACCACTATATGAACATTTATTGTTCACTCAAATCTTAGGTCAATAATATACTAAATATTTTTCTGCACTCTGCACTCAAATTATAATTTTACTATCATGTAGATGGGTCACTCTCACATGAAGAACTTGTGAATGCAGAAGGTGATTTTATAGTAATAACAGCGAGTTCTGCTGAAACATGAAAAAGTTTTGTGAAATAGAGCAAGGAGATTATTCTAAACATGGTCATTCACCATTAACAATACACAAGTCTGAGGAGATCTTTTAAAAATATTTTAGAGTCTCCAGCATTTAATAGTTCTGGAGAGTAGGTTAGTTCAGCATTGAATGTACCCAGAGAAGTCCTTTGAATCATTCCATGGAAATAGTTTGCAAGATTTCCCAAGTGTTTCCAGCTATGAAAACGCAATTGTCTTTCTAGTTGCACAGTGAGAGTGAAGTGTTGCTTCTCTTCAGTTGTTTCTTTTTCATATACTTCAATATATGTGTGCTATACTTCTTTTTACAGATTCATAGCACAGTTCTCTCCTTGATGTTAATAACTATTCCTTTAATATTTAACTTCCTCATAGTACTCCAGGTTCACAATAACACACATACTTTCATTTCTGTTCATATATAAAATTTAGCATATATCTAAACCCTAACTATCTATTACCTTTCCTTTGTTTGATTTTCTCTACTTGACTTGGGACAACTTACTTTCAAAGTGATGTTTGGGTACGTGATCTTAGATGTGTCCAAGGAGAATTGAGCAATGCCGTGTGTATCTGTGGTGTAGTTGCCCACAATTTTGTCTGCTAAGTGCAACTGGATAACTTCATTTGGAATGGGAGAGTCATCAGGATGAAGCAATTTAATCTGCGCAAGGGGAGGAAAATAAATTTCTGAAGTATTTAGCAAATTTAAAAATCAATTTGTGATGCAATCTGCCAAGCTCTGCTGTGAACACTTCCCTCCGGCTGTGCACATTTTTGAGCAGTTTCGACCACTCCTCTTGAGTGTATGACACATTCCACGAATATATTGATGACTCTAAACTCCATTTCTCCTACTAATAAATATCACTGGAAACTCAGGTCCATACATTTTACTGTATCATAAATATTTCTATAACAAATAAACTTCAAAAACCCTGAAAATAGAATGAATTATTATTGTACTTGGCTTCCTTTTCCTTTTCCTTATTTTATCATTTTTTTTCCCGTACCAGGAATTGAATTCACAGCCTCACGCTTGCCAGGCAGGTGCTGTGCTGTTGAGCTAGATCCCCAGCCCCCCTTTTTACTTATTTTAGTGAGTGGCTCAACCATTCAGTTACTGAAATCAAATAGGCTGGTATATCCTAAGGTCTTCTTTTCCTAGAATTCTTAATCACTGATAAAATATTTTTATCTTTTTAATGTATTTGCTCCCAGTTTATCATATTTTTTCATTGTTACTGCTTCATATGAATTCCTCATGTTTTTCCTCATTGTGTATTTGCTCCTACCTTGTCTCTTACATATCATTTTAGTCCTTTATATTGGCTTTACCAAAATTTGGCAAACTGAATTTTCTAAAATGCAAAACTTGTTTTGCTCTGTAAATTGGTTTAGTAATTAGTCTTTTAAGGCATGGTTATTTGCCAAAATGTCTACCATTGTCTAACCAGTACAAGCAATGCTGGCCTTACAAAAGCCCTTCAGAAAGGGGCACATTTATTGTAGATACCGATGCAGGCACTAGTATCTATGCCAATTTGAAATATTTTAAGACCACCCTCATTAACATCTAAGGCCACAATAATCAGGAAAAAACCCATCTCATACACTCTTCTTTTCAACTCAATTTCTGCAAAATACTTTCTGCACTGAGCCTTCGTGTTATTTCCGGCCTTCACCATTGTTCTGCTGGGCCAGCCATCCCTAGTTCCTTTGTCTGGCCTTTGTAGACTGATGCCCATAGATGATGTGATGCTCAACCACATAGTAAAGAAGATAAATGCAACCAAAGCAATAATGACAGATCACTGTATAGCCAATAGATATTAATATAATTCATTAACTGGACAATATTAAATGATGTGGTGAAGTAAAATTTCACTGAGGTTGCTAAAATATGGGACCTTTTATCTCATGCTGGGGAAAGCACAGCTATTACAGTGAACTACTTGGCCATACTGGTCAAATTTTGTACGTGTATATATTAAGACATAGCAACCCCACTCCATGGAATATATGCCAGAGAAGATTATACAAATGTAATTTTAAGAATATAATTAAGTAGTTCAAGTCAGTAACTATGTTGGGATGGGAAAATATTGAATAAATAAATATGCATATGAATAAAATAAGAGATATGCTGTAATGTAATTGCTTCATGAGTTCAGAATTATACTTTACTAAACCTTTTATACAAAATGTGACAACAATGTAGCCACAAAAGACAATCCAGAATCTCCCATCTATGCAAACACTTGTGCCCGTCATGCCCCCTGAGAACTGAGATAAGGATGATTTAGAAACTTTTTGGAATAAGCATGTGTAGCACACAAGAAATTTCATCCAAAAAGCAAGAAATCTTATCAATAAATAAGATGTAGTTACGAATTAAGAACATTCAGATATTAAAATACTAGATAGTAATATTAGAAATGAAATACACAATTGAAAATTTTAAAATACTTAAATTTTAGAATAAAATATATGTAGACATATTAAATATTTAAGGATTAACAAAAACTGTTAAAAGAAAGTGTACAGGGAAGTTTTAAGAACTGAACAGAAAACGGGATAGAAAAAAAGTGGGAAAGTTGAGAAGAAGCATTGTGAAGAGACAACATAAAATAGGAAAGTGGGAATAGATGCATCCTACCATCATCACCAAAGTAAATCTGTTGGACTTCGTAAAAGAAAAAAATGTTACGTTCAAAAATTTATTTCAGCCATATTCATAGGAGATAAACATTAAAATACACAGAAGATTCAAAAAAGGATGAAAAGTGACACTGAGAAGCTCATTTAACAATTTCAGCATGAAATGGAAAAAGTGAAAAGTATGAATAGGAATAAAGGGGTAAATGCATGGTAAAAATGAGTATTTCAACATGATGTGTGTGGAAGTGCCAAACACTAAAAGACAAATAACTGAAAGAGAAGCAAACAAATCCATAACTGTTGCAGAAGTACTTAATGCAACCCTCTAAAAATGGTACCTCACTAATTAAAAATGATGGCAAGCATTTAAGAATCTTAGCATACCATCTGTTCTTTTGCAGGATGCTACTAGAACACTTGATTCATTAAAATAATATGAGAACCAAGGAAAGATATGACAAGAATTTTAAAAAACAAAAAGCTTGGAGGAGGAAAAAAACACACCAACGGAACTGTTAAGATAGCAGTGGAATGAATCTTGAGGGCACCGGCTGTGGAACACACAGACCAACGCAGATGGATCAGGAAGGTGGACAAATGGAACACGTGTGTTTTCAGCACATCATTAATAGCATTGAGAGGGGTTTCGGGAATGAATAGACATGAGTAGCGACAAACACATAACACTGTAAAGAAGAAGCAAACATTGTACAAGTTGAGCTATAATCTTAGAATACTAATTGGACATTCTGTGAATAACACATACACTATTCATAGCAAATTGAACATGAATGTTTAATTATAAATATGCATTATCAGAGCACAGGATATAGAAGTGATGAGGCAGGCACTAGAGGATGTGATGTTCATCTTCCACTTTTGTAAGGAAACATTTAAGTTATGCTATTGATATGAATGCAGATTAATCTATGTGGGATTCATCTACAAGAGTTAAAATATTGCTGCTAGGACAGGATTTGGGAAATATACTCATTAGAAGGGGAGATGCTGACTGTTCTGTATTGTTTGATTTATAGTGTTATTTTCCTTTATAATAGATATGTTGTTTGTGATTAAAAGTTACTCATTTTTTTTTTAAATCTTACAACTCGAAAAACATGTATTATGAAAGAGAATTTAAAATGCTAAGTAATCTTTAGGTCAAAAAGAAAACTGAAGTGATAACTGTAAAATCATTAAAGTGATTTTAATTGAATTTAAAGATTGTTAAGATGATAAATTTTATGTTATATGTATCTTATAACTTGAAAAATAAAAATAGTACAGAAAAACACCTATAGAATGCAAACTACTACTTAGGAATGTACACATCTGAAAACATGAAAGTTTAGCACAAGTACTCATGGCAGGCAGCTAACAAAATACTTGCAAAGAAGAAAGGTTATACTAAAATTAAATGATAAAATGGTTATTCAAAATAAATTAAGAATAAAGGTGAAAAGACCATAAAGGAAAACCCACAAATAAATCTAAAAATAAAAAATTGTGGTACATTTTTCAAACAATAAGTGAACATGACTAATATTGTAAATGAACCATTTAAAACTTCAGTTTAATGTAAAGATATATGAATAAGTAAAGAAATACAGTACTGATTCTGAAAGTATACAAAATATGACCAAGAAGTCTGCAATTATCCTAAATATTCAATTTGAAAATCTTAGTCAACTGAACAAACAACATATTAAGCAGGATGTCCAGTAGTGTAAGTGTAGAGAGAAGCTCAAAATATATCATTATTATATAAAATGCTCTTTATATGTAATGAAGCTTTTTTTTTTTATTTTAAGGATAAAAGGAGGGAAACATTAACAGACATACAACATTTTACAACATATTGTAATGAAGCTTTAAATAGCTAAAGGAAATAAAGAAGAACCCAAGAAGTCATCTGGGGTAACAACAGTATTGGAGAATACACTGTAGAACCCTTCAGTCTAGAGAAAGTTGTTTTTTAGCCAAAGAAACAATTTAATTCCTTCACTGTGTAATATTCCTCAACTTTAGGTTTTAAGCAAAAATATATACAGAGAAAGATACAAAATTTATCATTTAATGAAAAAGTAAGTAAAACTATCATGTATCAAATTATTGATTTACCAAGACTAAACTTTAAATTTATTTGTAAAATGACCATTACTGAAATTTCTTTCAACAAGTCCTTTCAATAATTCTGGTACAAGGTCAAATTTGAGAACCATTGCTCTGTGAAATCTAGTTCAGGCAATCACTTTGCTAATTTTCATCCATGTTCTTGGATCAATATAAATATTACTTTCTCAGAGAAACTTCCTATGACCATTTAGTCCAGAGTCAGCAGACACTTTCTATAAAGCATGGTTGATATTTTAGCCTTTGTGAAACCGCATATGGTGTCTGCCTCATATTCTTTGATCTTTAAAAGTAATCATTAAATTGTTAAAGCAGTCTTAGCTCCTTGGCTCTACACGGGCAGGCCTCTGGTGGGTTTTGTATGAGAAGTGAACTGTGTTAATCTCTGACTTAGAGTAGATCCATGGTCAGCATTTCACTCACATAGTATCTATCTTTACAACCGAATTACTGTAAATTTATTTGTCTAATGCCTAATTTCTCTGTTAGACTGTAAACACCATGAAAGCAGGAAGAGCGGTGTCTGTCTCACGCTATTGCTAATTCTGATGCGGACTGTATCATCTATTTTCCAATCTTGGACATTTCCAGTGTGAAATGGACCCCTATGAACAGCTACAACTTGATAAAAGGCATGTGTGAAAACAATAGAATACTATCCTACAGTGCTTAGCACAGAGCTTCTAACATCATAATTTATTAGGAAATAGCTGTTGGATTGGTAAGTCAGTGAATAAAAACATAAATGAAGGTAGATGAGTGAATGGGTGAATGGAGGAATATGTAAAGGAATTAATTACTGCTTCTCTTACTTGGCCGGAATAAGGGAGTCCTTGTTTGTAGAATGTATCCATATTCTCAAAACGCATTTTCACCATGGATGTGCGTATGAATATGTTCCTGTTTTCTGTAAGCTGGACACCTGTGGTAAATTAAGCGTTATTAGGGAAATATCATTCAACAATAACCAAACAGAGCTACAAAAGCAAAAAAAGCTGCAAAGTTCCCCTTTCTGTCCAGTTGTAACCTTTTCCTAAGCAGTTTTGAACATATAGGTGCTTCTTCAGATGTCTTTTTATAAAGAAAATGAATAAAGATGGAAAACATCCAAATAACTGGTTATTCTCAACTGCTGTTCTTGGTATTCACAGATCATCCAATTCATCTGTCATTCCAGAATTATTAATTTCCCATTGTTCTTAAATAATTGTTCAAAAACTTTATTTAAGTCTGCTTAAAACATGCATTTTGATCTATTCACAATAAAAAGTAACACACATATATCATTAGAAATTTAAAAGTTTCAAGATAATACAAATTATTTGTAATTGCTAAAATGTGGAAGCAACCCAAATGTCCATCCACCGAGGATTGGATAAGAAAATTATGGTACTTTTATATAAGAATATTACTCAGCTGTAAAGAAAGATAAACTCGAGGCCTTTATATTTAAATGGTCACAACTAGAGACCATACTCATAATTGAAATAAATCAAACATACATGTGCAAGCACCGCATTGTGTCACTAGTGTAAAACTTGAAAGAGTTAAGTTAAACTCGGAGGTATGATAGACACTGTGAAATGATAGGAAACCACCGAAGAGTAAAGGGCTTCTGGGATGTGGGAAAAGAGAAGGGAAAGAAGGAGAAATTTTGTATGTATGTATATACAGGATAGATAACATGGTTGTTCTTCTATCTGCTGTTTCTATGCTGAAAGAAACTGTCAATGAGTCTTTGGTTGACCAGTATTGCATGTCTATATCTGTTTTCATGAGAAGCCACTTTGAAGATATCAATATGTAATACAACCACCATTGTTAATTCCCTACCACTTTGTTTGGAACTCTGTATTGTCTGTATTGTGCTTGTGATATGTTGTAAAATGTTGTATGTCTGTTAATGTTTCCCTCCTTTTATCCTTAAAATAAAAAAAAAAAAGATAATACAAATTATCAAATATCTAAAAGAAAGATAAATTTAATATTTTAGGCTATTTTTACAAGTTTTTAAGTCTTTATATTGTCATTTATATTAATATAGTTTGGATTATGTATATAGATAAATATATTCACTAAATTGCTATTTGTATGTATAAATATATGTAGTTTTACATTACATTTTTAACATTGAGTTTTTCAGACCTTTCTATAATCTTGTATTTTTTATTTATTTTATTTTATTTTTTGGTACTGGGACTTGAATTCAGGACTTTGCCCCTGCTAGGCAGGTGCTGTGCCACTGAGCTATATCCCTGGTCCTAATTTTGTATTTTTAATGGCTGCATAATATATTCCTTATATAATTGTATATGTAATTCAGTGAGGTATTCTTTCACTGTTTGTTTTGATCAATGTGACAAATATAATTAATTATCCACTCAGTGCTTATTAAATACTTTAATTTGCTTGGGATGTCATGACAGACTCCACAAAAACTTTGTTGATAAAAGCATATTGGCATTTAATCTCATGAAGAGAAATTTTGCTGAAATGTCATATGCATGAGCTAAAGCCTATCACGATAGAAAGCAAGTAGCCAGAATAGAAAAGTACATTTCAAGAAATAGAACTTGTTATTTTCTACTTAGTGGAGGAGATACAACAGATTAGAGATACACAAGAAATTAATCATTAGAAATACATTTCTGTGATGAGATAAAGATATTTCATTAGATTTCAGAGGTCTGGTAAAATATTTTCCCAAAACTATATTCTATTTCTCTTGTTCTGATTCTATGTACCTCCCAAAATTTTATAATCAATATCTATATTTTCAATTATATTTATTTGTGGAATGATTAGGGAAAGAGAATGTATCAGTATCTAGAAATAATCCCATTATATACCAACAAATTAGTACTCTGACTTCCAGTTTAACCCCACTTGAATTTAATGTTCATCTATCCATCAATAGGTGTCTAATAAAGTTTAGTCAAAGAAACACTCATAATTTGGATCTGAGAAAGTGATATCATATCCTAGGGAGAAATTAACATTGTGTGACTGGCCACTAGGTGACAGGGATATCTATTGGGGTCTGACTACTTTGGGATTATTACCTGTTCCACTTTCTGTGACAAGAGCTTGCACTTGAAGGTAACTCAGGTATCCTTCCCGATTGAACTCAAAATCGTCCGTGTTAATAAGCTGGGACGTGCAGCCATCTTTCCCCAGCTGAAATGTTATTAACAGTAAAAGAGAGTTAAATTTTAAAAAGGCTACACAAAATAAGTTTTAAAGGAAAATGTATAACTTTTGAGAAGCAATTTTAAGAGAACTGTTTTACCTGAATGTGAATTTTATAAAATAACTCATTATACTTCTATAATTTAAAATGTCAATTCACACATTTACCACAAAATTTGAATTTTTCACAAATGTTAACTCCTACAATATTGAATTTTAAAAAATCTTCATTGTACCATTGTGCTGTCAGTCCACAGGATAAGCACATCAATCTCCAATCACTTTTATTCACAGGTGATAGTTGCAGTTTGGTTAGTTTCAACCATATCTATTTTTCAGGTATAATGTCTAATACTAACCATTCCATAAGTACTAGAAATTATTACTATTATTAGCCATTGTTATAATAGATATTGTTTTTGTTTATTGTCCAAATATAATTTTAAACTTTAAGAACAAGAAAACTCATATCTCTAGAGAGACTGGAGATACACCTTGCTGGTAAAGCATTTGCGAGCTCATGCTAGAGGCCCTGTGTTTGATCCAGCCTCAGGCAAAGGCAAATCTTTGGAGAAGACAGAACTACATCTCTGTGTTTGTGTGTATGTAAATAGTATCACAGTGTTTACAAGTAGGGATGGCAGCCGGCAGTTTATATATTAGCTTAATTTTACCTGGCATAGTTGTAACTGAAGCATATCTATATCTTACACCAGTACTTTTGAATCTATTTTCTGATTGAGGTTCTCAAATCTCCTAAGTGAATCTTTTTAGGAAATCCTTTTTAAAAAATATGCTTGAAAAATAATCCTTCTTATTAGTAGTTAAACTGAGGATATGAGGTGAGTACAACCTTATTCATGATTTTGCAGATACACCTCTTACCTGAACAGTAAAGTTTTTACAGATTGAATGGAGATGTCTACAGTCACCATAGAAAGTAGATTCTCGGCACACTCTGAGGTGAACATTGCCCTCTACAGGTTTGCCATAGGTGTATCTAATAGCGGAATATAACAACAGTACAATTACCAGAGGTCTGTATCATTACTAGTCCTTACAAACATTTTTGAAATTGTTTTTTAGAAACCATTATTGTATCAACATTTAAATAGCCTCATGATCTGGAAGAAATTTAAACAATAGTACTGACTAACATGAGTTGAAGGCTCTAAACCAAAACAGGTTTTTTTTTTTTTTGTTTTGTTTTTTTTTTAAAAGATTGGAATAACCAACACACAGAATTCATAAATCTAAGTCATTAAAACACAATATATAATCACTTCTTGGCCTTTTGGCTAAGACCATATGTAAAACATAATATAAACAAAAAAATTAGTAATAAAGGAAAGAAATAGTCATTGACTTATTTCTTAGGGTAATACTTTTTCTTTTTGTAGATTTTCTGTTATTTCAAATTGTGCTATAATAAACATGTTTTAAAATAATTTTTACTTTTGTGCAATCTGAAGAGAAACTAGACCATGATTTTTACTTTTAAAACATAAATTATATTTATTTGTAATTATACAGAAGTACATAAACATATTTACATTGTTAAAAATCTAAAAAATAGGTAGAAAAGGGAAAGAACAAAATTGTGTAAAAAGAGTAATAGTAGATTTCACTAGGTGACATTTTATGATCATTTTAAAATTTTATTTTCCAAATTACTTATTGTCTCTTCAGCATCATTCACTTTTTTAGCCAGCTGTTCTATATATTTTACTTTAGTAATCAATATGCTGAATCCTTGTCTTTAATTATTTTTAAAGATGCCATTGATTCACATTCAAATATACACATTTTATTTATTTTAAATTTGATTTCTGGATGATCTTCAACTGTTGTCTGAGGTATAAATTGCTTAATTAGCATAATACTTGATTTAAAATTGTTAGAATCTTCAAAAATTCACTGATTTACATTTATGTGTTATGGCTTCTATCTGGCTTGTTCCAGACTGCCTTTTTGTTTACTTCAAAACATCACCAGCAAAAATAACACAGGATTTGATGTACAACCAAAACTAGTAGTGTAGTACATAGATATTTGAGCTCCGGGAATTACATTTCTCAGAGATGTTTCCACCTATGCTGGCAAGTTCCCGGCTCTACAACTCAAGTGCAGTGAGGCTGTTCTATCCTTTGCCTCCCGATACTCAAGACTCTGGAGGTGAAATCCAACACAGGGACTTCAAAAAGTCAACCACACCCCTTGTACCCTTCTAAACATTATAAACTTCTAGTTTAAAGCAAACACAACTAGAAACTTTCTATATAATTAGAAATTACCAGTGCATTTCAAAAATTTTAATCATCCAAAACAAGGAAAATGTACATTAAATTTGACTTGTATCCAAGGAAAGAATTAATTGTCACATCAGGTGTGAGGAGACAAAGGTTTATGTCTGAACTCTAATTGCCCTTTGCTAGTCACACAAGCTGTGTTTATGCTGTTTAACTTGGCCAAGGGGAGGGAAGAGACAGCGGCAGTTGCCTGGCTGCTTTCCCTTCCGTTCATCACTGAATCTTGTACTTGCCCTGAAATCCTGTCAGCCCTTGATGCCCTCTCAATGCTCCAGAATTATCTGGAGCCAATTCTAGCTCTCATACAAGTTGTGTGTGATCCATTTTGAGCTACGACTTTCTTCTTTAGTTACGTATTATAAGAAGACTGCATCGAGAATTCAGAGCGAACATGTGGTACCATCCAATGGGTATGTTCTATGTTTATGTTCTGAAATTCAGGAGCTATTAGTTGCATGCATTATGGCCAGTGCAGATGAAGGACCGAATTTTTAAATTCATTGTGTTTTAATTAGTTGAACTGTAAGTGACAACATTGGGGCAGTCAGCAACTTTTGTATTACATGGCATAAAACTTTTTTATGATGTAAGTCAGTGATCAGTAATCAAACTGTTACCTAAAAACATGGATTATAACATATATTTAAATGATTACTGATGAATGGTTAAGAATTCATAAAATCAGCAATGTAAGTCCATAGATTCTTTTTCTCTGGCCTTCTATACAATTCCATCTTGCTTCTTTTTAAGCTGTCTTTATTCTGTTGTAATATCAATTCATGGATTCATTTTTTTTATTTGAGACAGGATCTCAGTCTGTAATTCAGGCTGGCCTTGAACTCATTACATAGCCCAGGCTGGACTTAAACGCATGACAATCCTTCTGCCTCAGCCTCTTGAGTGCTATAATTACAGATGTGTACCATCATACCTAGCTGGATATATCATTTTATTGTGCATAATTTAAACTTACAAGGCACAGACATTAACTTTGAATTCAGAGTCCACAATTAAGACAGTTTCTGGTGCATCCACAGTTAGTTGAAATTTGGGGAGTACTGTCAATAAAAAGAAAAATAGCATTTTATTGACATAAATACATTCATACAAAGCAATTATTTCTCCCTTACAAATCATGCAAATTTGCTTATATTTGCTGATAAATAAAATTAGGAGGACACTGATGTGCATCAGAGCTGGATTTTGGAATTGGATAGAAACACACAGATCTGAATTACAAATCTATAACTTCTCAGGTATTGATCATGGAAAGTATGCCTCAAACTCTTCAGTGTAAAATGGGAATAATGATAGCACAACAGGACTTAATTGGGGATTGTATGGAATAATACTAGTAGAGCAACTGCTCATTAACTATTGTTCAATCCCTTTTACTAAAAGTGCTTTGAACTGCAAATATGGCATACAAAGAGTGGAAACACACCACAAGCTATTACATAACTCAATTCCAGACATCGCAAAGAGAAGATAAAATAGATATCTTAGGTTAACAAAGAATTGTGTGATGGTAGTGGACTGATAACTGGAGGCTAAAAATAAGAATAAGTGAAGAATACCAAAAAATAACAGCAGAAAAAGGTGAAGAAAAGACATACATGTATTAATATATTATTTAGTAACTTTGTTCTTACAAAATGGATAGTTCCTAAAGTTTTTCTTATCAGCAGATAAAATTTTCATAGCTGGTAATTACCATATTCTTCTACTGAGAAGGAGTGATATTCTTTCTTTTCAGAGGTCGTCTCCACGGTTATTGTGTACCACCCCAGGATGGGCTCCGGGATTAACCGGAAAGAGAGCTGCAGGATACCTCTCTCAGACTTCTCGTTCACCCACTGTTGTATGCGATTACCGTGTGGATCCTGAGGATGAATGAAATGTATTTTGTTGCATGCTTGATTTTTTGTTGTTGTTCATCATGAAATTTCAGCAAGTAGCTGAAGATTCTAACCTATGGATTCAAAGCACGATTATGTCCTCTGGTTCCTCTTGGAGAACTGATACCTGGGCTTACATCATAACATTCAGTATATTTAGAGTTTTTTTTCCCAAGCATTTCATATGTTAATTTCTCATGTCTTAGGGGTGGGCCATATTTTATACATAAAATAGTAAGAACACGTTCATAGACATTCAATAAGTGAGTTTTAAATTAGATCAAATAATTCTTGCATATGTCAGTATTAATTGGTGGATGCTAATATAATCAAAGGAGAAAAATTAAATTTTTCCACTGGAGAATGGCCACATGAAATAAGTAATTCTGTGACAAGTTGAGTAGACACTTTTTCTCTGCAGTGTCTTCAGATTCTGAAGTTTAGGGACCTGCTCAATAACTGAGAAAAAGTTCTTTAACCAGCAGTTGTCTTACCATAACGGTGATCACTGGATACTGAAATAAAAATAAAAAGTATGTTAGTATGTGAATATAGATGTTAACCATAAGTCTATTACTGAACACAGAAACTCATGCTGATAACTTTGGATGACTAAACACATTAATTTCTGGCTGAAAGTCTAAACATCTGTTGCAAATTTTTCTGCCCAACTCTCAAGATTTTCATTTATTTCTTTTGTATAACATGCACTTTCCAGTCTCAGTAAGAAAACTTGCCCATCAGTCTTGTCCAACAAAGAGAAATACTCTCTAATATTACTATTAATACTCTTACTGACAGATCCTATGGTCAATCTTCATTCTAAGAAATACAATATTTTACCCTTTTGATTGGGCTGTTCCTTGGTTATACTACAAATTTTTGATTTATGGGACATGTATTAATTAATTTTTCTAGCTTTTTTAATGCCATTTTTTGTTTTAAAGAAAGTAGTACAAAAAAAGAAAACCAATAAATACAAACAACACCAAGCGAAGACTTTAAAAATGATACAGGGTTTCAAACCAAATGATAGAGATTAACAGTGGTTGTTGTGTTACATATCGTTATCTTCAACAAAGTTGCTCAGATTACCAGATGTAAGAATAGAATTTTTTTAAATATTTTGACCAATTTTGCATGCTTGTATCTGGTAATCTGAGCAACTTATATGATGACCACAATTTGCAGTAAAACAGCCATTGATGAATTCCTACAGTCCTGCCTAGCGACACTATGTATTGTCTCTAATGTTCTTTTAATTTATTATTTTGTTAATCCCTTTAATGATTTGATCAGTCTTCTATTCTTACATCTGGTAATCTTAGCTTTTTACTATTCCTTATACTCAGCCTTTTCCATACAGTTCAAGTAAGCAGATAGGCCTTTGCCCTAAATACCACACGGAGTCTTCTCTCTTTCCTCTTCCTGTCACCTCTGTGCAGCTTCTCAGTTCCGTCCTGTACACCATTCTTCATCCCTACTCTTTCTAGACTTTACTATGTGCTTACCCTTTCTTCGCACATCTTCTCAGTACCTTCAAACCAGCGAGTTAGGATGGAATACGTGGTCTAGGAATCTCATGTGAGCAGGCTGAGAATTTTTAAAATGGTGACTTCGGGTCCTTTGCCCACTCTACAGGTTATTAAGTGTCCTTATGAAGTGTAATGTCCACACACTGCTAAAATACATGGCTGGAGGATTCCAACACGGAGACCAGAGGAAGAGTAGTGTCAGAGAGGTTCAGAGAGGATACCCTGAAGCTATAGGTACCCTGTAGTAGTAAAGGAGGTTCTTACACCTGTAATTAGAATATTCATTTGGAAGACCATACATGTAGACCTCATCTAATAACTGGATCATTGGAAAGGGGAAATGAAGCCAGTATGGCTGGTCTACACCTCCAGCCCCAGGGCCTGCAGGGAGCAGCCAAATTAAGAGCATTCTAAAACAAAAGCAAATAGGCAGAGGGAGGGAAAAAGTGAATGAGAACTGAAGACTGAGCTCTTAGGTCTGACTCAGTATGTACTAGCCCCTTTGGCACAGCAGCTCTAATCCAAACACTGGGGAATGCTGAGGCCTGGTGCTCACCAGTGCTCACCAAGGCAGCGAGCCCGACCTTGCCCAGAGAGGGGATAACCAGCAAGCAAGGACTGAAACACCCACCTACGCTCCTGCTTGAGTGAAATGCCAATTCCTGTGGTCTCTCCACAACAGCCTCCGCTGTCTCCTGCACATTCTCCACCAGCGCTCACCAACGGCAAGGATGCCCCTCACACACACTGGGTAGGGAGTGGATATAAGAACATGGACTGTAAATTCCAGCAAGGGTGCACTTAAACCCAAGGAATCTGACAACCTCTTGCCTGAGAGTGAATACAATACCCAAAGAAGGCCACCAAAACACTCTTGGAATGAATAACCAATTTCAGTAATGTAGCGGGATACAAAATCAACACACAAAAATCAATAGCATTCTGTACACCAATAATAAAATCAATGAGAAAGAAATGATGAAAACAATACCATTCAGAGTAGCATCAAGAAAAATGAAATTAGGAACTAACCTCACTGAGGACGTGAATACCTCTACAACAAAAAACGACAGCACTCTGAAAAAGGAGATTGAAGAGGACCCCAGAAAATAGAGAGATGTCCCTTGCTCCTGAATAGGAGAAGAAGTATTCTCAAAGCAGCCACACCTCTAAAACTGTTATACAATTTTAATGAAACCCCAAGTACATGCTACACAGATCTAGAGAAAACAATCCTAATATTCATACAGAACCAGAAGAGACCCACAGTAGCAGAAAGCAACCTTGGGCGAGAAGCACAAAGCAGGAAGCATCATATATCTGACTTTGAATTACACTACAAAACAACAGTGATAAAAATGGCCTGGTACTGGAACAAAAACAGACCTGTAGACCAATGGAACAGAAGAGAGGATACAGAAACATCCCCAGACACATTCAAGTATGCAATCAGCAAAGGAACAAAAAACATGCTTTTGAGCAAAGATAGCCTATCCAGCAAGTGTTACAGTGTAAACCAGCTATTTTCAGAAGATTGAAGCAGAATCCGTATTCTGAATATTCAGAATATTCAGAATCCATATTCTTACCATATTTTAATTTAAAACCAAGGGACCAATGATCTAAACATTAAAACAGAAACATCAAACCTACTAGAAGATAAAGTAGGTAAAACACTTGAAGTCATAGGTGTAGGCAAGGATTATCTGAACAGAACTCCAATTGTCTAAGAAATAACAAGAATCAACAAATAAGATTACATCAAATTAAAAAAAAAAACTTCTGAACAGCAAAAGAATCAACTAGTAGGTTGAAGAGACAAACTACAGAATGGGAAAATATTTGCCAGCTATTCCTTAGAGGACTAACATTTAGAATATGTAAGAAATAAAAAAAATAGATCTCCCAAAATAAAAGACCCATTGAAGAGATGGGCAAATGAAAAGGATACAGTTCTCAAAATAAAAAGTACCAATGGCCAACAAACAAGAAAAAAGGTTAACATTTCTGGCCGTTGGAGAAATGAAAATAAAAGTAATGCTAAGATTTCATCTTTTACTAGAAAGAATGGCAATCATCAAGAAATCAAACAAATGCTGCTGTGCCACCAGAGAAAAAGGAACCCTCCTGAACTGTTGGTGAGAATGTACACTAGTATAACCATTATGGTAATCAGTATGGAGATTTCTCAAAGAACTACGTTAGAAATTCCATTTGACCCAGTTATTCTCCTGGTATCTATTTTGCTAAAAGAGCTAAGAGATCATATTATAGCAATACATGCATACCAATATTTATAGCAGCACAATTCATAATAACTAAATCCTAGAAGCAGCCTATGTGCTAACCAACAGATGAATGGATAAAGAAGATGTGCTATCTGTACATAATAGAACACTACTCAAGTATACAGGAGGATAAGTTTGAGGCTTTTGTAGGAAAATGGATACATCTGGAAAATATGTCCAGTGAAATAAATCAGACATACAAACTTAGACACCATATGGTATCTTGCATTTGAGTAAGGCAAAGTACAAAAAAAAAGAGCAAAGTAAAGGGTAATAAAAGGCAAGAAAGGGATCGATCTCTTGGAAGTGGGAAGGGATTGAGGATACTGAGGGAAAAAGGAGCCAGCCAAGGGGAGAAGAAGCCACAAGATTTAACATACGCCATTTCCAGGTACCAACAATGAATACAAACATTACAAGTCATAGCATGAGCTAAGAATAACAGCAATAAAATCAAAGCAGGGAAAGAGATTTAGAGACAGAAGTAGGGAGGTGAGAGGAAGGGGATTAAACAAAGAAACAAGGTACAGGCACCTTTTCCTCAAGATGAAATAAACTTCAGTACTGCCAACATCTATCTACTAATAAAATAAAATAATAGACATAGGAACAGGATTCTTACTATAACCTGTGTGTGGAATTCTTCAAACTAGAAAAATCATACAGAGAATCAAGGGCTCTAACTCTAGATATAAATTCATGAAATGATACGTCCTTGATGAAATACTGTGAGGTTATTGAGGAAAGTTCCTACTGTATTATCAACTAGAGCATTGAGACAGAATTGCTCATCAGATTCCCTCACAGGATGAAGACAAAAATGTGTTTTCTGTAGGTGCCATGATAGGTGGATCATTTGGATCAAATTCCCAAGAGTATTAAAGTTAGAATACTATCCCTTTTGTTAGCTACTTATGATATTTCCAAGATGGCTTTCATTGTGTTCACTAAGTTGGATTTTTATTACTTAATTTGTATGAATTATACTAACCTTGGGCTGCTTCAAATGACTAGAACAAAAGAATTTAGTGAAATTACCATTGTTTTAAACTGCTTGTTTTCTCTGAAATAAGTATTGAAATATAGTTTATTTTGCTCCAACTAATGACTAATGACTCTTTCTGCACTGAATTTTGCTTAGTCAGCCTAGATCCAAGGAAACCAGCCTTTCCTGGATCTCTCTTTTGCACCAAAACTAGCACTTATGAAGACTGCTCTAGTTCTTGCAGTAAGTTGAAGGAAAGATGTGGAATTCCTAATGCAAATGAAACTGCTTGGAAAAAAAGAATGTTTGCATATGCTACAAGGCACTGACTTAGGAAGAGAAAAAAACAATAAACAAATTATAGAAAATGACAGAAAGGAAAGATACAGCACTTGGGCAGAAGAAAATATTCCTATGCTCTGAACCTTGGTCCATCTGATAAAGAAGAGTCCTATCATCTCTATCTTTTGATTATATCATCAAATTTGCTGTGAATTCGTGATCTCTCAGAAGACCAGCCTATCCTGAATCAAATAAATAGATTGGATAATTGCTGAAATAGGGCTAATCTTAGAAATATTGGACTAGAAAGAGATAATCAAATAATCTGTTAACTGCTTACACTACTGGAAATATGACATTAATTTTCATCTTTGCATAAGTGAATGCTGTTTGCTATGTCATAGAATCACCCCTGAAATATTTGCTACAAGTGATATTCTTTCCTGAGACCCATATGTGAAGAAACACTTCATTAATTCTGTTGTGCTCAGGCAAATGGAGTCATTACTATACTCATATTTGGACTTCCTGAAAATAAAAATAATCAAAAATGGTAGGGGAGGGACTAAAAAAAGGAATTATAATTACATGGCAGCCCCCTAAATTCAAGAAGCCCGTGGTCCTTCAGTTCAGAATAATTATTAGACTAGGGGTATAGTGCAGTGGTAGAGTGTGTGCTTCTGTTTCAAGAGTACTTGCTACTTTGCTTAGAGAGAGAAGACCCATTCTTAAAAATAAATGAGCTTCAATCTAGAACCAAAAAGCACAGGAAACACAAGCTACTTCACAGAAGTAATTTAGAATTTAAATTAATAAAAGAATTTTTGGTACTCAAATTAGCTACCCAAATGCTAAAGTTAAGCAGATATTCAGCAAAATTAGTGTGAAGAAAGGAGGTGAGAAGAGGAAGTGCGTTAGAAGAGCTGACGCCTTGCATATGTAAGGACAAGGGTGATTTGGTGGAAGGAAGGAGTAATCAGTACACACAGCCCCGAAAGCTTAATGAACTTCAATGAAACTGCTCGGTTGATAGACTGACATGAGAGATCATAATAGAATTGCTAGTTCTAACATGTTTGCTTCTGAACTACATGAAAAGTAGGTCAGGTATCTTGTTGCAGAAAGTTTTGACTCTCCTTAGCCACAATTCACTGTCTTATGATCATTCTTTAACAGCGCCCTTTTTAAAACTGGACTGCTGCCTCCTGCTGTGACACTATTTCAGAGGATCTCCATCTCCTTGCTATTTAGTCACTCCCCCAAGTGCAGGTCAGCAACTGAGAAGGAACTCCTCCATATTTCTCTGAGAAACAGTCATTTTCTATAAAAGTTAACAACACTTTCCCCCTTTTAGTAGCTTGGTGCAAATAAGAATTAAAATGTGTTATGCACATGGACTAAACCTCACAGTGGATGTAATTATTATGCACTGCAAATACTTACTAATAAAAATTAAAAGAAGAAATGAAAAGAGGCCCTGGATCACCACTCTCTTCACTGCCCTCCCCTGTTCTGTACCCAAAGCGCTCTGTTATGACAAATTCAGATGCCTTCACAACATGACATGAAGCCTCCTCCCCAGCTTTTTCACCAGCACGCCTTGCAACAGAGGTTTCAGCGAAGCGAGACCCTTACATTTCGGTGTTCCTTAAATCTCCTTCATCCTCGCCCTATGAGTCTTCACTAACATTTTCCTCCCCTTGCAGTAATCTCTTCCCTTCTCTAAATGGAGCATTGGGTTATCTTTATTTTCTAAGAATCTCCTAGTTTCATCTCTCCACGGCACCTATAGCAGGCATGGCCAATGCAGCACGCTTACATCGCTCTCGCTAGTTCTTGATACCTGGTCCCGTTTTGCTGTGCTCTGCTCCGAAGAGCTTTCAGCAGCAAACTTCTTGAGAGGCAGGTCCTCGGGCTTGACAAGTTCAAGGTCAGGAGAGAGGGGCTACTTGTACCTTGAAGGTTGCCCATAAGCAACAGCTGCCTGGCAGTTGAGTATGAAAGACTAATTTCTTTTTCTGAAAGTGCAGCAAACTCTGAACTGTCACTTGTTCTGGAGCTCCCTGCTCATCGGGGTGACTACTTAACTTTGAAATCAGCTGTGCTCAGTTTGACTTTTTCTCGCATCTGCTCTACCCCTGCCCCCGTTTGCTGGTTCTTTCTGCAACACTTTATTGAGAATTCACTTGTTCATTTTTTTCTGGCTCAGAATCTCATTCTGGGGAAGTTGACGCAACATAATACATCTCTTTGGCAGCAGCCATAATGTTTTCATTCACTTATTGTTAGCTCACTCATGTTATAAAATATTCACTCTGTATAGTAGCTTACCATTCTCTCAATACACAATTTGTTCATCCTATAATTATCAGAGCTTACTATCTGACATGTTATATTCTTCTAGATGTCAAAGACAGAGTGATATAGTCTGCATATACTTTTTTTGGTTTGTTTTGAGGCAGGCTCTCATCATGTATGCAGGCTAGCCTTGATCTCATTTATGTAGCCCAGGCTGGCCTCAAACTCATGTTAATCTCCTGCCTCAGCCTTCTGGGTGCTGGGATTATAGGCATGTACCACCGCACCTGGCTCTGCATACACTTAAGATTGAACCCCCATGTTCTGCACTGAGCTACCTCCCCAAGCTCCTGCTTATATTTTTTTGTGTCACTTTCATTTTGCTAATTTATTTTCTTTCCCAACTACCTCTCTTCTAAAAATCATGTTGAGGCTAGGAGGAGTACCTTTTCTGTCTTTCAATCAGTTGTTCTCATACAGTGCTTTCTAATGGTAGAAGTACAGTAAATTGCTATTATTTGTAATTGGAAAACACCTTTCATTCTGTTTGCTAAATATAGAGAGAAAGAGGATGAAGAAGGAAATAAAAAGTCTGAGTCTAAGTGAGGAACACAAGGGCTTCTATACTAACAGGAACATAGCCCATACTTTAGACTGGTCTGTCTCATTTGCAGAGATTAACTGTATGCTGTGAGGAGCAAAGCAGTGCTTGATAACGTAGGTATTTCCAGCTGTAACTTACCACTTCTTCAACAGGTTTCAAATCATCATCCATAGACACAATCCGAAACAACACTGGAGAAGGAAATAGACATGGTGTAAGGACATATTTATCTTTGGTCACAACAGCTTTCTTACTAAATGGATTAACCCAGGCAAATCAGAAGACAGCTTATTGCAATCGGTGACAGTAATGGCACACATATCGTGTATAATCCATAGATGCAGTGGTTACTGTAACAGGCGGGTTAGGCTGCTGAGAAAATATTCATGGCAAGAACTTCTTGCCATGGTTTTACTTGATTTGCACTTTTGCCTCCTACAGATCACCAAAAAATGTGTCCAAGGCGACGTAATCACTTCATTAAAGGAGGAACAGATGGGGAAACGGGGGAGGTAAATTAGTTCTTAAAACAATTCACCATAGAGATTTTGTGCGTACTTCGTTCAATGTGTCTTTTCTTTGCTCATCAACCACAGCTCCTGCTTCCTAATCTTTCACTGTCGGCACCTGCAGTCATCCATACCTTCACGTTCACACTATTTTCCAGCTATGTCCTTACCTCCATGTCAATTCTCAGCCTGGTGGCTTTTGTCAAGTCCCTGTAACTGTCCTGTCAGAAAAATTCATTTTCTTGTAAAGACGTTTCCCTGTGTCCCTATTTTTCTGAGCTTTCTCTCCATCTCTACTGTGCTCTGGGTCCCTCTAGTGGTGACTGTGTACATCTTAACGACTCAAAAAGGAGTAGACGACTTCCTGACATCACAACTATCGTCAACATCTTTGCACTTTCATTGAAATACATTTTGATTTAGATGTCATGGGCTCCCAAAAACCTATGCAACAAGTTGTCTTAATTATATTATATATGGAATTTCACTGAGCTATTGGTGTTATTTTCCACCAGTTAAAGATGTCATGAGCCATTTTCACATGCTCCATGCTACAGGGTGCTTTAGCTTTCCTTTAAAAGAGAATAAAAATTCTTAAAAGTTGTCATCATACCACAATTACTACACTTTGGGGGGAAAAGCCGCTCACTGGTGGTAATACTCTGTCACCATCCATGTACATATATTGCCAGCCCTTTATGTCTGCTTTTTAGAATACCTCAGTGTTCAACTTTGTTAATCTCACTGTTCCAGACCATCCATACCCTCCTAGCTTCCATTTATTTATTCATATGTTAATTTTAAAAAATCTTTATTGATAATCCATTTTCTCATTCTACTTATATGTGCCTGTGTGATGTCAAATAGTAAAAATAAAATAGAAGCATGGCTTCAGAATATCTCGAGACAGTCAAAAGATTGTTTGAGAAATCTTGATCTCAACCAAAATCTCATGGTTTTCAAGATGCTCTTTACATTAGTTAACCCAGAGTCACGTCTCCAACCCTTCATCCTACCTAAGGAGTCACAAGTACTTACTCCTATTTGACAAGACTGACTAAATGTTTAAAAAACAACTCACACCTAGTGTTCCTAAAAGTGAACTCTTCAATGCTCCTTCAAGCTTATTGATGTCTTACTAGTTCCCATTTTATTAGTTTATATTTTTTCACTACATATGTTCAAGTCAGAGACACTGTACTCCTAATCTTTCACCTTTTTGTACCTTGAAAATCCTGCACTTGCTAATTTTCTTGCTCAGAGTAACTTTCCCCACCCGTGCTGTTCACATTCACTTCATCCACATCTCTGCTTAGTTATCTTGAGACATTATTTCCCTCCATCCTAATCTACCCACTCTTCTAGTTCGGCCATTTACAAATTGATTTCTCCTTTGCTCCAATTCATAATCCTCTTTTATTTGATCTCCTGCAGCAGTTTCCTCCTGGATCTATGCCACTGCTGTTGCCTTGACCTAGTTAATCCTATGATCAGCAGATGGAGGATTAAACTTGATCTTGTTTTTTCTTTGATGACAACTTCCCATTGCACAAGGCAGTATCTGAATAACTTGGTAACTAACACATTATTTTCTGACCATCCCTGCAGCCTCCTACCCAGCCACTCCTGGAGGTACTACCTAACCTGACAGAACGTGTCTCTGCATAGTCGCTCCACTCCTCCATTTTCACCTCTTTCATGGCTATTGCTGTGATAACGTCTTCTCTTTTCTACCTGTATGAGGGAGAGTTTTCTTTGTTATCTTACCATTGAATATTTGGAAGCCCCTGCTTTAATTTGTCAAAACACAAGTGGAATCTGTTTTGTTGAATGCAATGTATTTTTTTACTAAGTCAGTTACCGTTTTACTCTGAATGTATTTCCATGTATCTCTATCTGCATCCTGTCCTGTCACACCACTATTGTATCATGCTTGTCTGTGTCCCTATACAACAGTTAGCATAACACATTTATAAATAGTTTTATGTCAGTCTTCCTGATCTGTTTCTTGCTTACGAATTTTGTACTGCTCATTACCTTTATATTGTTACAGTAAATCAGGTTACCTAGCGCATAGCAGGTTTGTTATTTGAACTGATGTCTTTCAGGCATATTAAAATGTAAAATTCCCTCAGATTTTTTTTACCACAATATTATCCATTGTTTATTTGTAGGAAAATTTATTTCTTATAATGTTAACTGATATTTCAATTTTACCATCCATAGTTTAATGTAAAATAACACATGCTTATTAAAAAATTAAGAACTATCCCCAGTACATAAATAAGTTAAAAAATACTAACCAAAAATACTTGTGTGTTTTGTTTGTATATTCTCCATGTAGAATCTCCTTAACTACATCTTGCTTGTTTTTAAAAATTGACATGGACTATAAAATACATGTTTTAGAATGATGTCCATCCCAGGATGCATTTATGATATTTATAATATTAGATCACATATAGGTAAGTTTATTAACATCTTCTTTTATAAGGACACTCTCTTTATTATGAGCTATATGTTCTTGAAGTTTTCCATCTAAAATTTAACTTTTTCAGGAGCTATTAGGTTAAGAAAATGTGTGCATTTCTCGGTACTATTCAAAATCTTTTCTCCATCTAGTTATAGCATAAATAACTTGTAATACACAGCTTTTTTTTCTTTAAAATTGTGAAAACTATGACCATAAAAATTTCTTGAGCTATGTTCACTAGCTACCATATGCACATCAAAATTTTCAAAATAAATTTTCTCATATTCTTTCAAAGTCATGTAATATAATTATTTTTAGATACTAGGATTATGGATGATTTGTCTTATTCTTTATTTTCAAGATCAACTTTAATCCTATTTTTATACTTATCACAGACGTCTTTGAGGACAGGCATGCAGCTCACACCCCTCTCATTTGAATCCAGCTTTGCCTGCTCCCCACACCCCCACAAAGGGGTGAACTCCTAACACCCCATCAGCTCTGTGTGGTTTTGCATTCTGGCCTGGTCACCTGGATGGTTGACCCAAACAGGGCAAAGCCATAGGATTTAAGTGCACATAACTCACATTTACTTTTAGTAAACTAACTGCCAAAATCACACTAAATTGTCAAATAGGAAAATAATTTCTTTCTTCATAGAGTAATAATGGTTGCCAATGGGAACACAAGAATTTCACGAGTGTCTTTCCTAGACAATGGGAGTACTCATGTTTTCTCTGGACTAGAAGTAAATTAAAATAATTCCTCCTCAACTCTATTTCAGGAGCTTAAAACATCTTTCAGATTTTTGGTGAAATTTTTTCCTCTAATCAAATATCTTCATAAACTGGTATATGAATATATATTTTTATTACAGAAACTAAAAATTAATTCTAAATTTTAATGGCAATATCTTATTTTTCTAAGTCTTTTGTTTTTGCAGAGTAGATGCTTTAAACAAATATAATGATGCACTTACTAGAGAATTTCAGGGAATAAGAAGTTCATGTTGATTATTTTCAGGGAAGACCTTGCAATCTGAAATCCTACTAGATGAAACCGATTCAAATTTCTTGAGGACTGCTCTATCATTGCCTATGAAAGAGCAAATGAGGTGGCGATCCTAACCTTCTTTCTGATCTCTGTGTTGCACTGCTTTTCTTTGCTATCACACAAATTTGGACAGAAGTGCTTATAACACTCAGAAAGATCCTGTCAAATAAATATCTAATTTTCAGCCAAGCAAATCACTTTGGTCAAAGACTTCACGAATGGCACAGTAAGATACTTCTATGCATGGTATGTTAAATGAGAAGCTAGAAAACACATGACGAAGTGCATCTAGATGATTTGTGACTCTTTTCTTGAGTTGCAAAGAATTTAATTTACTTTAACTTAGCCGTGAACAGCGTCTTGTAAGATTTCTAGCCTGCACTGATGTCGTTTTACCTGTCACTGTTCAGAAGTGAGAAAGAAGCGGTCCATAGGCATGAAGATGGTGTCAAGGAAGCTTTAGCAAAGCAAATACGCACTGTGGTTTTAGCATGTCACAGAATCACAATACGTTTTCATAAAGAAGAAGAGGAGAAGAGCAGGAAGAAGGAGAAAAGGAACAGTGGAGAAAGAAGAAGGAGATGATAATGGAGAAGGATGAGGAGGAGAGAAAGGACAAAGAACAGAAGAACAAGTGGCATTAAGTCAGGCTTGGTGGTGCATTCCTTCAGTCCCAGCCTTCTGGGAAGTCGAGGCAGAGGGCTGCCCCAGATTGGGTATTTTAGCAAGACCTTGTCACAAATAAAAAATGAAAAAGCCCCGAGGATGCAACTCAGTGTGAAGGCCCTGAGTTCAATAACTAGTACACCCATCTCCCCGAGTGCACAGTGCTAGGTAAAGTCTCAATCACTGCAATTACATCTCAGACAAAAATGATCAATTTCTTGAGAAATGAGCCCTCCTCAGTTGTGTACATCTCATCACTTATTTCTGCACTCCATTGTTTCCCTTTGGTTGCACATAGGTCCTTCACTAGAAAGTGGATGGATAAGAAAAAGAAGGAAACATTGCTTTCAACTAAGAATTATATTTCTGTGCATTTGGAGTAAATAGTACCATCCTTCCAAGCCCTGTCCTCTCCAGGTCTTCTCAGCAGGAATCCTGGGAATTCCTTGGGATTCGCTTGGGTTAGCCATATAGACTCCTTCTCTTCCTGAGCACAGATGTGTTCCTACTCTTTGCTTACCAGGTCCTGGGTCTACACAAAGTTTAGAAACCGAGGCACCCCTCGGACTTGTTTCATGCTCCCGTTTCTCTGTGGTGCCCCAGTACTACTCTGAACGAGCGCTTTTTCACGACCCTGAAGTGAAGGGAAGAGGAAATGGCAGGGCGAGAGCAGAAGAGTGTGGCACGGACGTGCACCTACAGCACAGTTTCTGTTACTGCAGCAAGTAGTTCTCCCCTCCCTCAGTTCGGCGTTCTTCAAAATCACAGTACTGCTGATGTCCGAACAAGCTGCGATCTTAATCATCTAAAACTCACTCAAAACTGCCTCACCGGCCAAGCCTTAACCCGCGAGTCAGTGCACAAAACATCTTCCCTCCAACTGTATATTAGAGCTTTTCAAAGTGTGCCTACCCGTGACAATTATTTTTAGAAGACAGATTTTAAAGTCACTTTTCCCTCACAGTAATATAAACTTTTAACAAGCTTTCCAAGCAGTTTTCCTCACTGAAGCTTGAGAATCACTGAAACTTCTCAGATCTTTGTGCTAGGAGATGGAAACAATTAGACAGAAATAAATATAAAACATACATGAGACACATGTTGGGGGTGTCTCCATCTGTTTAAAAATATATTCAGATTTGTGTTACATGAGTATACCAGGAAGGTATTTAGAGAAGGAGAAGTATATTCTGGGGACAGTAATTAACATGGCCCTGCAGCTGGCCGGCCATTTCTACCTGTAAATCCTGCATTCTCAGGTTCAACTAACAGCAGAACAAAAATATTCACAAATGAAAATATTGAGTCAGTGCTGAGGAAGTACAGACTTTTTTGTTAGCATTCCCTGAACAAGACAGTAAATTAACTGCATAGCTTTTACAGAATATTAGGATTATAAGTGATCTAGGGAATTTTACATGCCTATATCTGGAAATCTGAACAATGACTTTAAAGGTAACAATACGCAATATAACAACCATTGTTAAATTCCTATCATCTGAGCATTTTTGAAATTCTGTATCACTTCTAATTTTTTAAGTTTTTATTCCCTTTATAATAAAAAAAATAACTAAATGCTAAAATAATAAAAAAAAGTGTATGGGAGAATGTGCATAGGTCTTTGCAAACACTGGGCCATTTCATTCAAGAGACTTGAGCGTGCACACATTTTGGTGCCAGCAGCAGTCCTGAAACCAATCTCCCGCAGACACTGAGGGAAACTGATATTTTTCCTGGTGTTGTTGGTTTTCAGTGTTGGGAATAGAATTCAGGGCCTCTTGTGTGCTAGGCAAATGCTCTCCGCTTGAGTTACACGTCCAGCCCTTTTAACACGCATTTGAGAAAGCCAGAGTAGTTTGAAGAAGATATGTGCCTATTAAAATATTTTCAGCTTAAATTGAGAAATATGTTTTTAAGGTGATGAAAAAATTTTAAGTGAATGCTTCATTAAAGAAGAAATATATTTCTAAACTGGCATGAGAATAGTTTAGTACTGTGATTCATTAAACTTCAAATGTGTGCATGTAAGGGATTTTTCCATGATTTATATAAAAATAAAATATGTCACCATATGTTCTTTTGCACGTAAGTTTAAATCTCAATTTATCAGTCAATATGACATCATTATTTTTCATACATTCCTAGGAATATGTGAATATAGTGAAAGGTTGACTGAAAAATTTGCTCATGTCGCATTTCAAAAAAATAATACTTTTTGTTTTGTTCATTTTGGTTTTCAGCAGTAGTCTATCTGAATAGTAGAAATACAGAAAGCCATTTCATATGATTTTTTTGTGTAAAACTTTCCTCTTTGTTTTCATGCCCATTCTTGTCCAAGTACATTGCACGTCTCATCAGTAGTATTGTAAAGAGCTACTACTAGTGACAGAAGCAGCCTTTGTACTTTCACAGTACCCACAGATGACTCAGAGCAATCTTCAGATGCTTCCATCATGGTCTGATTCGCAGATCTACAGAGACTCTTCATAATTGCTTAATTGCCTGAACGCCTCTTCAGCCCCAGCATGTGGGGATTTCCTTGAATTCTTTTATTCATTCCAACCTGTTTTTCTACTTTCCATGCATTTTCTCCACCCCAAAAAGTTCATTAAACACTGAGGTACAATTTATCAGTGAATTTTACCTCTGTGCTTTCTCATATGTCATTTCCTTCATCAGAAAGATCTCTCTTTCGACTGTTATAATTTATGTTCATTAACTCTTTCCAAATACAGGAGACTGAGGCTTTTCAACTTAACTAAAAATCACACAACCCAAATTCCCACCAACTGAAGAATGGATAAAAAAATTGTGGTATTTTTATATTATAGAATGTTACTCAGGTGTAAAGAAAGATAAGCTCGAGGCTTTTATAGGTAGATGGATGCAGCTAGCGACCATGCTCATAAGTAAAATAAATCAGACCCTCATGTGTAAACATCATATTGTCTCCCTGATCTAAGAACCTGAAAGAATAAGTAAAATCTGAAAGGCACAATAGATATTGTGAAAGGGAAAGAAACTGCTCAAAGGGAAAGAACAACTGGGATTAGGGAAAAGAGACAAGAAAGAAAGAAGGAAAAATCTCTCTCTCTGTGTGTGTGTGTGTATATATATATATATATATATATATATACATACACATACACAAGATAGCTAAGACAATTGTACTACTAATTTCAGTTGCTTTATTGAAAGGAATATTTCACGTTTGTTTGATCAATTTTACATAGCTGTATTTGTCTGAGTAACAAATTTGAAGATAATGATATGTAATACAACCACCATTGTTAATTTCCTGTCCCTTTGTTTGAAATTCTGCATCGTTTTTATCATTTTTATGTTGTTTTGTTTATGTCTTTGTGTTTATTAATTTGTTCTTTTCTCTTTAAAATAAAAAAAAATCACACACTGTTTATTCTATCACTGGGAAGTTCTTTAGCCATTAGGTGTATCTCTTGATATACTATTGACATGCATTGCCATTGTTTTATATTTAATTCAGTGACAAGCTCCTAAATTTGTATAAAGTAAAATTTCATGATTCCCCAGAATAATATGGATATCATTCAAATATTAAGGAGTTCTTCAAAACTACAGTTTTTGAGGCTTCCCGCATAGTTTAGGAAATGAAATCCCTAGCATGCATATGATATACACTTCTATCTTGTATTTTTGAAGCGAGGTTCCCAGTCTATTTTGATATAATAAAAGACTGTAATAATACTGTATAGCATCTATTTAAAAATCCTATAAAAGATGTTAGTTGAGAATAAAAATTGTAGGTATACATACCATCCTGTGCAGGCTTATAGATGGATTTATCTGTCTGTACAAAGACCATATTTTCCTTGCGCCTGATTGCCACAGATCTTCTCTCTTCTAGCAGGACAGTGGCTCCTTTAGCCAAGAATGTGATGAAAGCCAGTGGGTCTGAGCTGGCCTGAGGAACCTGGGTGCAACAAGATATTTTATGAGGTTGTTGTTATTGCAAGAAATCTCTGTCACTGCTGCTGCGTGGGTAGTCCTGAAAGTTTGAGTTCATAACTTGTCCTCTGTAGCTCTTGTATCACCAGCCTTGTTCATTCCTCTTGTCCTGTCATTTTTATCTTATCTCATTTAACTAATTAAAATGTGTTGTTCTTTGTGATCTTTCTTAAAACTTCCCTTCACTGGACCAGGGTTTTGCTTTTTATAGACCTTATTCTCTTAAGCTAATTTCTGTCAAAAAATCAAAAGTTTTGAATCTTCTTCCTCCCACAATTTAAGTGTGCTTACATCATTTCAAAGCAAAGACTGTACTTTAAAAATTATGATAACATTATTCACATTGTCAGATTGTTTCTCTGTTCCTAGGAAGTCAGTTATGTGGGTGGCTTTCCTGTCCCTGCAGGATTCTTTTCTAAAGTAAGTAGAGTAAAAAATTTACCTCAAAATTGGTACACTTGAAGAAATTTTCTCCTGTAACATCCTCTTCAAATATTTTGGTCAAGACCTCACCATAGTTGAGGGAGACAGTCAGAACAACAGATTCGGTCAGATTGGAAAGCTGGGCACAAACTTTATCCATAGAGCTTTCTTGCAGAACAGAAGGGACCAGCAGAACATACTGCCTACAGAGTTTAATTAGAAGCATTAGAACTGAAGTTGTTAAAGGAAGGATTAGCTCATTATCAATTATTTTGTTAGCCAAAAAGTTTGTGAATTTAAGAAATGCATTATTTCCTAATGTTAGAAATGCATCAAAAGACTAAATCTTAAGACTTCACTATTACTTTATGAACTGAACTTTGTAGACAATACAGAATATTCCACTTACAAAGAAGCATATTTCTATAATGCTTTTGCCTCTTAACTACTTAGTATGCACATCCAATTTCATATTTTCCTACTATCCATGTTCATTCTCCAGTAGAAGCCTCATGCATTTTACCTGAACATAAGTGTACAGCACAGTTCTAACTCTTAATCAGTATTTTGTTGTCATCCAAATTCAAACTAAGTCTTACAAACAGATATTTTAGATCACACTGTGCAATAATAATATTATTTAAATTACTACTTAAATATTATTTAAAGTCATTACAGTAAAAGTGTAATAATTTCTATTTTATTCCAGCTATAGTAACACAACTTTATGCAATCACTTACACATTTGGAGACTGAGAAAGAGACAGATGAAAAATAAAACACGCAAGAAGTGATCGCATCCACATCATGGTCCAAATAGATGAAGAAGTCAGCTGAAAGACTCTGCTCACTAGACTGATGTAGAGAGGTCAGTGTGCAGGGAGTTCAGACATTCTTCCTGGCTAGAAAAACCAGCAGTGGAGCTATATATCCACGCAGGTGATTTTGCAATCACTTCCTGAATAGTTCATAAAGTGCCATATGCATAACCTAATTGGTTGCGTGCTTTGAATTTTAGTTCCTCCCAGTACTCCTGTCTACTGCCTGCTAATAGGTGTGTCACTGAGTGTCATCATCTCATTTACAAAAATGTCTTCAGTCTGTACTTCCTAGACTTAGCACATGACGTGTACAAGGGAATCCTTCAAGCATGAACTAAATCTCATTTCCTTAAATTCAATAAATTGCCCATGAATCAGTGCATTACTAAGCCATTATTTTGTGGGTTAGAACTAAACCCATGTTGAAAATGCAGTATATATTTCTGATTGATAGCAGTTTCACATAGTTATTGTAATGAAATCAGTTCAAATAGAAAAAGCCTTAAGGAAACTTAGACTGAAAAAAATTAAAATATCATCAAGTATTTTTTACTAATTGTTGATGTTGTGCTTCCCATATATTATACATAATATAATTTTGCATGGCAAATAAATAATTTCAATTCTAAATGAAGAGGAAATCATTCTCCTCAAAATTTTAGTGTAATTATAAAAAGAATAACTAACAATATTTTATTATTGGTATACATCTACTGCTGTGTTTAAGATCAGTATATCTTTACTGCTATGCTTATGAATATGAAACTTTTTCTTATTCCAAAAAGTTCACAAAAGTAACAAAGTATCCAATAAAGTAGCTCTTACTAATTTATTTGCAAAGATAAATTATCATATTAAAGATACAATTAGAGTGTTACCTTGTCACAGTTATAGAAACTCACCTTTGGAAATATAAGGCAAGTTGGTTCCCAATGGTTCTTAGAAAGAATTCAGCAAAATATTCTTTTGTCACCTTTGTCTCCTCCTGATTCAGTGTCCATTACATTGCCAAAAATGTACATCTTGTTCTTTCTTAACAGACACCAGCATAGTAGTGGGACACCTTACAGTAGAATCTGAAGAAGACTTTTGGGAGTTAACGACATTGCCTCAACTTTTACAATTAGGGAACCTTCTTAAGCTGCATCTGGTCAGCTTCCCTAAGGGCTCAATACCTACTGTGGAAAGGTATCTTAGCAAGAAGGTTTACTGAAATATTATTTCTATTTTCTTTTCTTTCCCTTTCCAAAATTCTTGCCTAGTATTTTGAGTTCATCTTTAGTTTTGACTAAATAAATAACCATTAGAAAGACAATCTCATGATTGCTGTATTTCCTTAGGTATCACACAGTAATCTATTATGCTGGGCTTTTAATATTAGCCTTTTACTAAAAAAGCAGAGCATTTGCTTTACAGTGATATACACTAATTCTTTTTATTTTTATTCTAGAAGGTAAACTACTTATATCTTGTCTTCTTTAAAAACTTTTATGGTCCAGTGTTACCTATAAAATAAATCCCAACTCTTTAGCAAATTTCTTCTTAAGAAAGTTATTTATATTTTTCACCACCACTTGTTCTCAACACTGCTATCTTCGATGAAAACACTGCAGTTTCGTATGCCTTCCATACTCTTCCGTCTCTTTCTCTACACTATGTGTCTATGATCATTCTCTGTATGACTGCTGTACAGGAAGGGACCAGGCATCTGTCTTTTCCTCATTCTTTGTGATTCAGTTAAATATTTCATAACTCCCAAGATGGAATTGGATGTGGCTGTCCTAAGTTCCCATTGCCCTGCTGCATATCTCTGTGGAAATGTCATAAAATGCTTACTTTTCTGTAATATCTGCCACTTGCTTATGAGAATTGCAAAAGCACAGCTTGAGAGTTTTATTCATCATTGGCTTTCCAGTGGCTGGAATATTAATCGATCTTTGAAGTAAGCACTCTGGGCTCCCAGACTTTTTAAGCAAATCCATTTACTGGGGTACCCTCTTCCATCCAGGAGAAGTATCCAAAAACATTCTAGCTTTTGGATGCTGAAAGAAAATTTTTATTCTGCTAGATTCTTCCTGTTGTTAATTTCAGACAATTAGAAAGAAAGTCGATCAGCTAGGGTATGGCCAAGTTGTGAAGTGTTTGCTTGTATTTACTTCTTACTGTGTTTTTTCCTAACTCTTTCAAAAAGACACCCTGGTACTGCGGACTTCTTCACCTGCAAGGTTTTGATCACGTCAGGACAAAACTGGCCCCACTCGCTTAACTAAGACTATGGACTTTATGTTTTCAATTGACTGCTTCTTCTTGACATTCCAGATGGCAAAATATCGCAGATCTGATGAATATTTACGTTACTCTTTCTGAAAAAGCAACACTAAAACCTACAGTCTAATAATGATTTCATTGCTTTTAGTTATAAAACTGTATTTAAAGTGTGAACCTTAAGTGGTTACCTAATATTTGAAGTCCATAGTCAGGCATATGCTTACATATAGCATATCTTTATTAATTGAAATGCAGAATAGAAATCTTATCAGTATTGGGGGCATCTGGAGGTTATGTTTGTTAAATCCTTATTAATTAAGTATAATTTGGAAGTCCAAGTCTAACATAAATAAGTTAGAAAGTTGGAAAGTTAGTGTAAGAAGATTTTTAAAAATTGGTACAAAAACTGACATTTACTGAGAAGGGGGAACTTACAGAACATTTCTCTTTTATAAGACTTATTGAATTTATACACATAGACTATGATATATCTGATTTGATGGAGGAAATCATAATTGTTACATATATATTCCCCTGGAAAAGAAATGTGTTTCTGTGCTGAGTTAACCACATTGACTGGCCCACATGAATATTCTTAGATTGCTAGTCACCACTGAAAAATCCATATATATATATTTAAATCTGGGGCTCATGCTAGAATTATGGTTTGCTTTTTCTTTCTATACACTTGTAATATTTATTCAATGATTTTCTTAATATTATTCACATTTGTCTCCTTTTTCTTTTCTTTTTTTTTTGGTATTGGGAATCTAACTTAGGATCATGTGGCTGCCAGGTACGTACTGTGCCACTGAGCTATATGCCGGGGCCACTTGCCCTCTTTTTACAACTAAGTTTTACCTGACTGAAACTATGATTCCTTATCTTTTGACACATCCCTTTCGATTGCCAAAGTAAATTTTGCGTCGTAGACATTGTCTACATGGAGATGTTTGTTGATATAGATATATAAGTCTCTAATACATTGTTTAAATTGGAAAAAAGTCATAATCATTTAAATGTGAAATGGAAAGAAAAAGACATACACATATGTGAACATAGATATGCACAAGTTTTTTAGAATCAATCCAATGAATAGGGTGCAATTTGCATAGAGAATTCAGCATGGTTTTTTCTTATTACCAGGCCACTAAATGGGGAAAACCCCTTGTACTGTGAGAAAAATTTACTGTATCCAAGAAAGGGATGATGTCATCAACAAAAAGGGTGTGGAGAAAATAATAATGTGCGTTGTGTGCCTGGAAAACTGATCACATTGCTTTTAGGATATGGGAATTTCCCTATTTCTACTCATATAGACATCCATTTCCCTATTCTTAAAGCAGAGCTATATTTTATCAAGCTTATGAAAATTAAGGTTAGAATAAGGCCAGTTTTTAGAGTTTCTGCCCAAAAACGAGTTCCAAACAAAATCTAAGTCAATATTACTAATTTAAAGATTACTGTTCTACTCCAGAATGAGTTTAAGGTGACTTGTATTCTTTTTTAAAGAGCAGAAATTTTCTTTATGAAACACAAAATGAGCTCAGTAATTGTCAAAATAAAATATTTGCCCCTAGCATCTCTGTGAATATTGTTATTGAAATAATGTGAATATTGCAATGATATTATTACAGTAATACATACTGAAAGCTTTATTTCCAGTGGATAGTCATATATTTAAATAAGAAAATACTTTTATCTAGATACTTTTGTATATAATCCAATAAAGTAGAAGTATATTTTTTTATTTTAAAGAGAATAGTAGAAAAAAGATTGACAGCAAAATACAAACAAAACAAAGCAAGAACATTAAAAATGATATGGGGTTTTAAACCAAATGATAGGGATTAACAGTGGCTGTTATGTTACATATTGTTATCTCCAACAAAGTTGCTCAGATTACCAGATGTAAGAATGGAAGATTGATCAAACCATTAAAATTTTAAGAAGTAAATAAATAAAGTTGGTGAGTGATGCCCACCTGTACTCACAGCACTCCAGAGGATCAATATGAATTCAAGGCCAAGCTGGACTGCGCAGTGAGGCCTTGTCTCCAAAACAAAATTAAACCAAACAACACCTTAAATAAGTAATATATTCCCATGAAAATAAATGATCATAAAGAATAAATTATGCTTCCAATACTAGTGAAAGTATATTTTTCATTCCAAAGTTCATTTTGAAGTATAGCTTCTCATTGTCCAACATCCTTCCCACCCTTCCAAACTCACTTTTTGGAAAGTATGGCTCCTGAGGTGGTATTCATCATTTTAAGTATTAAGAAAATACACAACTTCTGGGAAGGACTCTAAGTATTTTGCAAATTTTGGCTGCCAACACTGCATGATATTCACTGTCTCTTTTTACCAAGTGGCTAAAGAACTGAAGGGAAATTTGCCAGGAATTTCTCAAGAGTCACGCAACAAATGGAAACTTGTCCTTCCCCCTGCAGAACCTGTTCCTGACAAGCCCAGTGTCCACACTTCAGTGGGCAGGGAGTTCATGCTGGGAAGGTGAGCAGTGTCTGTCCCTCTTCTCCCTGAAGGCCGCTCGGTGTGTGAAGACACACAGCGCTGCTCCGGGATAGCCAGCTGTCAGTGTTCTCTCAGGGGTTGCCCTTTGTGAAGGTAATAAACGCACTGTAAACTTGCTGTGTTTGGCATTAAGTTGTCCGTGGAAATTATAAACATTGCCAGAAACTTTTTTGCCAGATGGAGTCGTGCCAGCAGAGTGCAGTTGGGCGTGAATTCTCTGTGCTGGGAGCGCTCTGCAACCACTTTGCTTGAAAAACAGCACACCTGTTTTTCATAGCTACCAGAAAACTACAGTTATTCACATCGACCTTCAAATATTAGCATATTAAGAATGTGCTTGTGTGTGTAGTATTTTCCTTTTTTTCCTTGCAAGACAGTTACAGAGTAGGACAAATTCCCTGGAGCTTTGCAGCCAGTGCTTTGATGCTGCTGGTTCTATCTCTTAATAGATGAGCAACTCTGCATGAACTACTTATTTCCATGTGCTTCATTTTTGTTTGTTTGTTTATTAATGTGACATAATGACTGCAGGACCTTACAAAATTCTAATTGAAGTTAGTTGAAGTAATATTTTTAAGATTGAAAGTGATTAGCATAGTAACTGACACATACCAAACATTTGGGTAAGTCCCTGTGGATACTAGCCCATCTCTCTTTTCCCAAAGCTGTAACCGTAAAGAGTACTTCTAGAAAAAATGGGTGATTCATGTTAGCCAACCCCTTATACTGGTTCTTCTTAAAATCACTTCTCTGGGATTAGCAGTCTAGAAAGAGACAAAAACATGAAACATGGATGATTCTATGTGATAATGATATAGAAAAAAAGAAAAAAATTCAAAATGTATAGAAATACCATATCATCTGGAAGTCACAGAATGCTGAACTTAAAGAGACTTAAAAATTAATAAGTTACTGCTGGAATTAGTTCAGCAGCTCACTAATGTCATGCATTTTGCATGTTCTGTTTGCTCTGCTTACATGGCATTATAAGTGTTGTTACTGTACGGCAGATGGGTTCTTCTCTCAACCCAGAAAGAATGACAAGGTAGAGAGTCAAAAGGGAACTAAGCAACAGTACTTATTGTAGTAGTGTAGAGTGAAGGCAGAAAGCAGCACTTGTTATAAAGTGAAAGCAAACAGCCCCCAAGCAAATGAACCTGGGAGCTGCCTTCACAGGTTCCCAAAGGACTCTTTGTCTGGGGGTTTTCATGCACAACAAATGACTATGTGTCAGCCGAGGTGAGATCAGTCTA